CACACGAACCACACACGAACCACGCACGAACCACACACGAACCACACACGAACTACACACCAACTACACACAGACCACACACGAACCACACACGAACCACGCACGAACCACACACGAACCACACACGAACCACACACGGAGCACACACGAACCACACACGGAGCACACACGAACCACACACGGAGCACACACGAACCACACACGAACCACACACGAACCACACACGAACCACACACGGAACACACACGAACCACACACGGAGCACACACGGACCACACACGGAACACACACGAACCACACACGAACCACACACGAACCACACACGAACCACACACGAACCACACACGGAACACACACGAACCACACACGAACCACACACGAACCACACACGAACCACACACGGAACACACACGAACCACACACGAACCACACACGAACCACACACGAACCACACACGAACCACACACGGAACACACACGAACCACGCACGAACCACACACGAACCACACACGGACCACACACGGAACACACACGAACCACACACGAACCACGCACGAACCACACACGAACCACACACGAACCACACACGAACCACACACGGAACACGCACGAACCACGCACGAACCACACACGGACCACACACGGAACACACACGAACCACACACGAACCACACACGAACCACACACGAACCACACACGGAACACACACGAACCACACACGAACCACACACGGAGCACACACGGAGCACACACGGAACACACACGAACCACACACGAACCACACACGGACCACACACGGAACACACACGAACCACACACGGAACACACACGAACCACACACGAACCACACACGGAGCACACACGGAGCACACACGGAACACGCACGAACCACGCACGAACCACACACGGACCACACACGGAACACACACGAACCACACACGGAACACACACGAACCACACACGAACCACACACGGAGCACACACGGAACACACACGAACCACACACGAACCACACACGAACCACACACGGAACACACACGAACCACACACGAACCACACACGAACCACACACGAACCACATACGGAACACACACGAACCACGCACGAACCACACACGGAACACACACGAACCACACACGGAACACACACGAACCACACACGAACCACGCACGAACCACACACGGACCACACACGGAACACACACGAACCACACACGAACCACACACGAACCACACACGAACCACACACGAACCACACACGGAACACACACGAACCACACACGAACCACACACGAACCACACACGAACCACACACGGAACACACACGAACCACACACGGAACACACACGAACCACACACGAACCACACACGGAACACACACGAACCACACACGAACCACACACGAACCACACACGAACCACACACGGACCACACACGGAACACACACGAACCACACACGAACCACACACGAACCACACACGAACCACACACGAACCACACACGGAACACACACGAACCACACACGAACCACACACGAACCACACACGAACCACACACGGAACACACACGAACCACGCACGAACCACACACGAACCACACACGGAACACACACGAACCACACACGAACCACACACGAACCACACACGGAACACACACGAACCACGCACGAACCACACACGAACCACACACGAACCACACACGGAACACACACGAACCACACACGAACCACACACGAACCACACACGGAGCACACACGAACCACACACGAACCACACACGAACCACACACGAACCACACACGAACCACACACGGAACACACACGAACCACGCACGAACCACACACGAACCACACACGGACCACACACGGAACACACACGAACCACACACGAACCACACACGAACCACACACGAACCACACACGAACCACACACGGAACACGCACGAACCACACACGAACCACACACGAACCACACACGAACCACACACGGAACACGCACGAACCACGCACGAACCACACACGGACCACACACGGAACACACACGAACCACACACGAACCACACACGAACCACACACGGAACACACACGAACCACACACGAACCACACACGGAGCACACACGGAACACACACGAACCACACACGAACCACACACGAACCACACACGGAACACACACGAACCACACACGAACCACACACGAACCACACACGAACCACATACGGAACACACACGAACCACGCACGAACCACACACGGAACACACACGAACCACACACGGAACACACACGAACCACACACGAACCACACACGAACCACACACGGAGCACACACGAACTACACACGAACCACACACGGAGCACACACGGAACCCACACGAACTACACACGAACCACACACGGAGCACACACGAACCACACACGAACCACGCACGAACCACACACGAACCACACACGAACTACACACCAACTACACACAGACCACACACGAACCACACACGAACCACGCACGAACCACACACGAACCACACACGAACCACACACGGAGCACACACGAACCACACACGGAGCACACACGAACCACACACGGAGCACACACGAACCACACACGAACCACACACGAACCACACACGGAACACACACGAACCACACACGGAGCACACACGGACCACACACGGAACACACACGAACCACACACGAACCACACACGAACCACACACGAACCACACACGAACCACACACGGAACACACACGAACCACACACGAACCACACACGAACCACACACGAACCACACACGGAACACACACGAACCACACACGAACCACACACGAACCACACACGAACCACACACGGAACACACACGAACCACGCACGAACCACACACGAACCACACACGGACCACACACGGAACACACACGAACCACACACGAACCACGCACGAACCACACACGAACCACACACGAACCACACACGAACCACACACGGAACACGCACGAACCACGCACGAACCACACACGGACCACACACGGAACACACACGAACCACACACGAACCACACACGAACCACACACGAACCACACACGGAACACACACGAACCACACACGAACCACACACGAACCACACACGGAGCACACACGGAGCACACACGGAACACACACGAACCACACACGAACCACACACGGACCACACACGGAACACACACGAACCACACACGGAACACACACGAACCACACACGAACCACACACGGAGCACACACGGAGCACACACGGAACACGCACGAACCACGCACGAACCACACACGGACCACACACGGAACACACACGAACCACACACGGAACACACACGAACCACACACGAACCACACACGGAGCACACACGGAACACACACGAACCACACACGAACCACACACGAACCACACACGGAACACACACGAACCACACACGAACCACACACGAACCACACACGAACCACACACGAACCACATACGGAACACACACGAACCACGCACGAACCACACACGGAACACACACGAACCACACACGGAACACACACGAACCACACACGAACCACGCACGAACCACACACGGACCACACACGGAACACACACGAACCACACACGAACCACACACGAACCACACACGAACCACACACGAACCACACACGGAACACACACGAACCACACACGAACCACACACGAACCACACACGAACCACACACGGACCACACACGGAACACACACGAACCACACACGAACCACACACGAACCACACACGAACCACACACGGAACACACACGAACCACACACGAACCACACACGAACCACACACGAACCACACACGGAACACACACGAACCACACACGAACCACGCACGAACCACACACGAACCACACACGGAACACACACGAACCACACACGAACCACGCACGAACCACACACGGACCACACACGGAACACACACGAACCACACACAGACCACACACGGAGCACACATGGACTACACACAAACTACACACGGAACACACACCAACTACACACAGACCACACACAAACCACACACGGGGCACATACGTACTACACACGAACCAGCACATTGTGGTAAACAACCCCACCACCATTCTACTTTGCCCGCTCTCCGCTGGACCGGACAGAATTGGTCGCGCTACTACCAAAGCCAATATCACGTGGCCCACAAACTTGAACCTGGCCGTATAATTGACACGGAACTTACCCTCGATGGCAACCCACAGCCACCCTACATTCAAGTCCACCTTGAGTCACTGTAATTTACGGTGCAATTCATACCCTGAATAGCACACTCGCTGCACCACCAAGCATCGTTACCACTCGCTCGTACAATTACAAAGGCTTGGAGGTTCTTGAAATTGAGAATATTATGAACTTTGCAAGCATGCACATTACAGCTCTGGCAGTGTTGTGAACCGTGCCTATTCGGTACATCCCACTATAGGTCAAGCACGGAAGCGTCGTATAAGGAAGTCCATTAATCTGTTGCCTAACAACCTTCCAATTGAGCTTCGATTGAGCAACTCATCAGTTTCTCCAATCTAATTACACAAATAACAAATGGCTCGTCAAAAACACAATGTGTCGCTGTGTTAATGGCCCGTTGTGTGATATCATATATTTTACGTTATGCTGCATTTAATGATTTGCCCTCCCGGCACTTTTCAGACTCGTAAATAATTCCTCCAACGTGCAAGATTCGACAGATGTCCCACGAGCGTTAAACATCTCCGGTGGTGCTTTCGGATCGGAGCGCAAATTGTTTGGCCGGACGTCCGACGTTTCGCTCCGCGTTCTCTGAGCCTTTTCGTGTCGAACAACCACGGACACCTGCGTGGCGGTAGTGGTCGTGTCGGAAAATATTTGGATCGCTCGTGAAATATGAAAGTTCATCCTGCGTCGTCGCGTGCCCGACGGGCGGTCACCGCCAGCGCTGTGCGTGTTCCAGAGACGCGCTCCGTCTGCGTGAGTCCCTCTCAGATTCTCGTCGTGGAGCTCGCCCAGTACGTGCTGGAGACCTCGGCCAAGCACGTCGTGTACGAGCCTCCGCCCGAGGCGCCGGGGGACCACTGCCACGTGAACGCGCTGCTGCGCCGCATCGGCAAGCTCGCCGGTGAGAGGGCCGCTCGCCACGTTCCGCCCGTCCGCTCGCGACCGCTCGGCGCTCGCCACGCGGTGTGAATTCGCTCGCCACGCGGTGTGAATTCGCCCCTTGTCGACCGCTGTCGCCCTCGCAGGACTCTTTCTCTACGGCTTGCTCGCCACGGACATTTTTGCCAACGTCGGGCAGGTGGTTAGCGGAGGGCTGACGCCCCACTTCCTGAGCGTGTGCAAGCCCAACTACACGGCGCTGCCCTGCCACGCCGCCTCGGTGGGGGTCGGCGGCGGCGGCGTCTTCATCACGGACCCGGCGGCGTGCACCGGCAGCCCCGAGCTGGTGGCGCGCGCGCGCCTCTCCTTCCCCTGCAAGGAGGCGGCCTTCAGCCTCTACTCGGCCGTCTACACCGTGGTGCGTTCCACTGTCGCCCCTCCAGCAGTTTGCAGTTCAATAACAACGCCACATCTCCACGTGAAACCGCGTTTAGTTGACCTTACACCCCACTCACCATTACCCCCGATTGATGGCAAAACTTGACAGATTTTGTCTCGCCACAGGATACGTGTGTACATTATAATAACAGTGTCGACGGCGTCCACTCATTATGATGACATAATCCACATTTACTCTCCAATCTAAGAAGACAACCACTCTTCTCATTTCCATTTAGAAACATTCTGACAATTCCGCGTGTGGCTTGTGATAATCCCAGTGCGATGAACCTCTGCCAGTGAGACTGCGCGAACGTGGTTTGTAATATGCTCACCACGTGTGAGTGGGTACAGTTTTATCATTTTCGTTGAAATTACAACTCATCACACCAACGTGAATAGTATTACAAGATGCTGCACGACCACATGGTTTTATTATGCCAATGCTGACATTTGGTATGGTTTAGAATATTCCAAAGTGGCTACAATTGTCACTGACTAGATGTTGTAGTGATGGATGTGGTCATGAACTGGAAAGTTGAGCTGATCGCTTCACATATCTCATAAGATTAGGCCAGCACTGCCTTAGGTGCTGTATTAGCTACCAGTTACAATGCTCAATATAATCCGGACCGATGGAAATTTAGCACTTGGAGGCCTAACCTTGACATATTCCTCATTCAGCTTAAATTTAACGAACCTGGGCAGTATTCTGCTATAAAGTTCAACACAATTCCACCATACCTTGGTACAAATAAATGTCTGCCACTTGAACACAGACGCCAATTCCAAGACTGTTTGGATCAAGCCCACTTGTAGGCCGCAGCCGAGCCACCTCGTGCCACACAGGCTACCGGAGGTGCCCCGTTTGAGGTGCGGCGTCAAATCCGGACCGACGGCAACCCGAACCTCAGTCCCCTGCGAGGCGGATACGCAAGATCGTACCGCACAGAATTAGTGTCCATTTGAATCGACGCGTCATTCTGCCCCCGCTGCGTTTGTCACCAACATCTGGGTGCGTGCGTTGCATGTGCGTGCCCGCTCCCTCAGCTGTACGTGACCAGCACGAGCAAGCGCTGGGGGATCCGGCTCGTGAAGCCGACCTGCTGCCTGGGCCTCATGGGCCTGGGCCTCATCGTGGGCCTAGTGCGGATCGGCGAGCACCGCAACCACTGGGCCGACGTCATCACCGGCTACACCATCGGCGCCGGCATCGCCACCTTCCTGGTGACTCCTGCCCCTCACGTCAGCAACGACTTGGGTTTGATTCCCAACTCGGGCACTTTTCTGTGTGGAGTTTGAATTCTCTCCCCCTGTTCTGCATCGGTTTCCACCGGTTCTCTGATTTCCTACCATAGCCAAACAAAACGTTCAATGCAACTGATGTTGAGCAAACATCCCAATGCTGAAACAATTACCTGTCAATTACTCATTTGGGATTACACACAGCAGCAACGCTGTCCCCCGAGTGCAAATACTTGGCAGGACCATCCTGCAAAACAACCTTCAGGCTCGGTGAGGCCCTCGAGAGTACACAAGCAGAGTAATAAGCGACAATAATTCCGATATCTACCCCTCCAATTGGAATTTACCCTGCGTGCTCACCCTGCACCATGCTTATCCACCTCTTATCCACCTCTTCCATCCGCCCTTGCTCACCTCGATATCCCCTTGTCCACCCCAAACGTCCTCCTTTCTCCCTTCCTTCTGAACTGTCCCTAAAATTTCTAAAGCCTACACGGTGTTCATCATTTGTTGCACTCGAGGGCATTGATCTGATCATGTATGTACGTCGAACTTCTTTCGCACCGTACGTAGCCAACCGTGCTAATCGGAGGTGCGGGGGATGGGTGTGCGCTCCTGCTTGTGCAGTGCTGCTGTGTGGTGGGGAACTTCAAGCGGAAGCGCTACACCAAGCCGTGGAAGAGCAAGCCGGCTGGCTTCCACGGCGCCAAGGTGTCCAGCCGGGGGAGCCACCACGTGCACATCACAAACTCGTTCCAGGTGCGCTTCTCCGTCGCCACGTCACGCGGAACGATGTCAATCGTGTCGCACGCAGTCATTTATAATTTTTAATGGAACCGGAGCAACTTGTAGATAGTGCAAAGTAAAGTAATAAATAGCCAGGCAACGAGTCTGTTTCTGGTGAACGATGGGATTTTGTTGAATTTTACTGAAAAGAGCAGTTCAGAATTTCCCAGTTTCATCGCACAGTACACAAGCCACCGTACCCATGCTCATTCTGACGAATGTTATGTGATGGTAAAACATTCTTAGCCCAACTTGGAGCGTGTATGGTGAAACCTTTACTTTTGTAGATAGCGAGAAATAAAACTAGCAAATTGGTTGCTACTTCTGTGGCGACTGTTCCCATGAACTTCGCTCGTTGATTGCTCCTCCCACGATGAGGACTCTTTAATCCACCACAGTGCAGGTTGCAACAACACTCACCCATCAACTCACTCACCCACCAACTCACTCACCCACCAACTCACTCACCCACCAACTCACTCACCCACCAACTCACTCACCCATCAACTCACTCACCCACCAACTTACTCACCCACCAACTTACTCACCCACCAACTCACTCACCCACCAACTCACTCACCCACCAACTCACTCACCCACCAACTCACTCACCCACCAACTCACTCACCCACCAACTCAATCACCCACCAACTCACCCACACACCCGCTCACCCACACACACGCTCACCCACACACCTACTCACCACACTCCAGGTCACGACACTGCTTCTTTCAGCTTCTTCACTTCGCAATGCCCTCCCCCCATCATCTCCTCTCTTTCCCCCACCAGCTCTGATTATAATCTCGCGTATTTCAAAAACTTGCGCCGCTTGCTCGTGCTGTTCGTTTCTGGCCGCGCTCCGCCTCTCTGTGAAAACAGACGTTGTGTGGCTGCTCGAGGTCTGCCCATGTGTCTGTGGTTGCGCGGCCTTCTCGTTGACAGAACCACCCGGCAGGCGGCTTCCTGTCAGAAGTGCTGGAGCCGTGACCAGGGTCCTGGCGGCAGCTCTCAAACTCTCACCATCGCACCTCCCTCCTTCATCCAGTTGTTTATTTACACATTTGCTTCGAGGATACACAGGCATCATTGTTACCTAGTCAACACCAAAATAGAACAGACTGTGTGTGAGGGCAAGATGTTGGGAGGTGTGAGGACTGGGAGTTGAGAGCTGGGGTGCAGCAGCATGAGATTATGCCGATGCACACAATGGGGATTTGGCTTCAATGCTCGGTGATCATCTCTTGCTGCACAGACGGCCGTGCCACCACCCCCCCACCCCTGCCCCTCCGGCAGGATTATGGCCGAGCACAGGAAGAGGCACTGAAGACAACAGCAGCACTTAGCCACGAGCCGAACCCCGGCACGTCTGCCTCCACGCAATCCCACCACGAGACGCCGCACCACCGGGGCTGCGTGTCAAGGGGAGAGACCACAATTGGAGTTGTTGGAGAGCCCTGGCATTGTGAACGGACACCGCTGGCGATGATCTGCAGGGGCTCTGCATGCGTTTCTACATTTCTCACCTTCACCGCATGGCGCAAGACAACAAAGAGGGGAATTTGACAAATGTCGGGCCCAGATTGTGCCATGTGCACTGAATTGGCGTGGCATTCAAAACACATCCCAGGCTCGCGCTTTTCAAACGAGTCTGTTTACTTGCACATGTGCGCGTGTAATTGCGCTGCAGTGATGGTGCCATTGCGAAACAATGCCCGTGTGCCAATTGACGCCACTCAAGTAAATGGGCAGTGAGCAGTGCTCTGAGAGCAGCAGTGGGATACACGACTCGTTGGAAGTGGGCTGCTCCTTCACCGTGAGTCGCATCGGGTTTGGTGTGGAGGCTCTCAGCAATCCGGTCCGTCACGGCGCTCCACCACCCCACGCTCTCACGGCACGTGATGCGTTCACCCCGCGTGATGCCCGCCGACTTCACGTCTGTGCTGGGGTTCACCAACGTCGAGTGTGCAGGACGATTAGCCACGACGGCGGCGTCAGGCGAGAAACCCCACATAGTCTTCTTCACTCTTCACACATTTTACGGCGATGTTTATTCCTGCAGAGACGTTATGGGTTTCACTAACCCCGCGTGCAATGTCTGATCCGTTGTTGGTAAACGACGTTTGGTTCGCAGACAATACTCGCGACACTCGCGACTCGGCGTGACTTCAGATAGGACGCAGTCGGTGCCATCCCTGTGCGACCGTGTAAATGAATGATTCGATGGCTTCCCCGACATCTCCATGTGTTCACTGACACGGAAAGTCTCGACTGTAAGGGGAAACAAAGCACAGGGTATTGACAACGCAAGAATGTGCGGTGGCTCGGCGGGAGAGCACGGAGCCAGCACGGAGCCAGCAGGGAGCCAGCAGGGAGCCAGCACGGAGCCAGCAGCACCGCGGAGACGTTAGTTCGATTCCAGGCGGTGTTAGTCCGTGATCTGTGCGGAGCGAGTCCGCGCCATGCCTGAACTGGGATGTGACCGCTCTGCGCAACGCGAAGTGGCGTCTGGCACGGGAGCGCGCCCTGCCCACGGCCCACCAGGATGGCGGTGGTTTGTGGTGCACGTGAGCTCGAGGGTTGCTCCAAGAGTCTGGAGAAATAAAAGCGCAGTTGGCGAAACTCTCGCGCGTTTGGGGTTCCTCCCGTCCGCGTTTGCGAGAGAAAGTCTCGACTTTGAGGTCGGCACCAAGGCAGCATGAACATCTCCACGTGACCCAGCTCGTGCCGAACTCGACGTTTTGAGGCAGGGTTCATTTCACAGATGCTGCTAATTCCCGGTCCCTCTGGGTTTGACCCGAGACTGATCGGGAATTGGCACCACCGGCGTTCGGGTGACAGGAATCTGTACCCAGATCTGGTACCGGTGTTGTGTGTTGAACTGTGTCACAGTGAACTCGGGTGGTGATAGACCAAGGTTGGCTGAGGAATACGCCCCAGTTTGGTCTAAAGTGGACAGTTGGCAACCCTCTAACTTCTATGCTTTCAAGCTCTGTGGTCCAGCAACCAATTTAACTTGCCCATTCACGTGTCACTGTGCTTACAGTGTGGCCACATTCGTCAACATTTGGTCATTCTTGTTGGAGCAGAAGCTGCCACACACACGCGTCTTGTATACAAGTGCACGCGCACACTTTATATAAGCTTGGCTGTCACGCGAGGCGTGGCCTGGGCATTTATATTCTTTGAACTTCTTCTCTTGGAGCTGACATTTCCTGCTATAAGTTTTTCTGATTATTTCAGTATTCCTTTGTATTTAATTTATTGTATTTAATTTTTCGTGTTTAATTTATTTCAGGAGCTGGCAGCCGTCAGAGTTGACCGCTCGGCCATCTGCCTGTGAACTGCGGGAGCGACGAGGTGGTGCAGCATTAGCGACGTCTCCACGTTGACGGCATCACCTGCCCCGGTCGAGGTCACGATACACTGGGGCCATAATCCCCGGCACCCACCACGCTCCCTCTCGTGGGTGGCTTGTTGGGAAATTCCAATCGGATCTTGGAGGCCGCATGACGTTCTGTGCCCAGTGGACCGATTATTGCTCCATCAATCACCTTTCAGCCCACTCTCTTGTCATAGGCTGGATACGGCTCCGGCATCGCTGCTCACAGTATACGCGCTGTCACGGACAACCACCGTTGACAATTACCCCCAAAATACCCCCAATATATAATTGTCTATCTACTGACGTGGCACAGCCTGCACTGGCACTGAGACGTCTGCAGCTTCAGGAATGCTTGTGGGCACTGGGTCGATGGAGATCCACAGCAGAGCAAGCGGCTCATTGACTCTCTACCCGGTGCGGCAACCAATCCTCTCCTCGACAAGTTAACCTGTTACCCTCACAAATGACTTGATCCTTCGCATTCCAGCCTACGGTACGCGCGTGTGTATGTTGAAGCGTACGTAGCCAACCCCTTATCCTCCACGCCCTCTGATTGCCCTCCACCCCACACTCACCCTGCTCCCGCGACCCTGACCCCCACTCGGAGCCCCGAGTTCACCCTTCACCGCCCCCTCTGAGCCCCTACCCTGAGCGTGCCAGGGTGCCGAGGCCCGGGACGCCGCTCTACATCCAATTCCATTCTTGTCGCTGCTGCTACCGCTTACGCAGGGAGCACAGAATGAGTAGGAACAGAGTCACTGCTGCTGCTTACGCAGGGAGTACAGAAGGAGTAGGAACAGCGTCGCCGTAATTAGTTTAGAGTCTTTGCGAGATCTGGATGAGTTTTTATTCTTTAGAATTTTGAGTCGTACTTGAATGGTCAAAGTACACCAATGCATGTATGTGATGTGTACATCACTGAGAGAAACTGAATGCAGCTCGCAGCGCGGCTGTCGCCCTGGGAGGCTGCGATCCACTGCGGCAATTTGAGGGCAAAACAATTCGCGCAGAATTTCCCGTGGTCAACAAAAACAACGCGTTCTGAACAAACCCGTGTGGGTAGTGTTGGTGTGATGGCATGGTGGTGTGAAGGGCCACACTGGGCCATTATGGGCCTCTGGTCATTGAAGAAGATTCACATCAACCACGAATGGTTTGACGGCCTGTACAATGTAATCCCTGCATTGCTAAGCACACGCGCGTACACACGCGCGTACAGACGGCAGTTATTGACTTTGAAGAGAACTCTGTCACTCCGTTCTGTTGCCTGCCAAATTGCCGCAGTCGCTCACGGGTAATGTGTTGCCGGCAACGGCTGCCCGTGAATGTGCCCGAGGGGATGACGGCCGCGTGGGCGACGTGCCCAGGGGGGTGCGTGCGATGTTGGGCGGTCAGACTCCCCGTGTCGCCCCCCCCCCCCAGCAATGACCCAGGCCCCTGCCCGCTCCGGGAGTTGTGGTGAGAGGTCGCCACTGAGTTGAAGCGTCTCTCTTCCTATTGCTGCTGATATGCGGCCTCGCTCCAATTGGTTCACGTTTTTCTCTCGCGATTCGCATCAACGGTGAATAATCTGTTCTCTGTAACGCGCGGCGGATATTCGACGATGTTTCTGCTGTCGCAGACACCGTCATTGAAGGAACAGAATCGTTAAATCCATCGGTGTGGCGCGATTCCGCCGAGGCCACGCCGTGGGTGCCCGTGGGGCTCGTGGGGGCCGCGGCCGCCCCCGCTGGGACGAGCCGGCGGTTTGGACCCGAAGTGTTTTTTTTTTATGAACAAGGTTTTGTAAATTACATACACGAGTGTATTCGCGAATGTCTTTTAATGGCAATCAATAGCAATGTGGTGTGTTGGGGGGGGGGTCTTTGTGATTGAACCCGTGAGTGGAGGTGCCCCCACAAAAGCAATACAGCGCGGCCGCGTGCCCCCCTCTCGAGGTTCGCGGCCGCGCCACGGAGCTGACCTCCCCCGGCTTCTTACAATCAACAGGAAGAGGGACACGTCACAGGATTGACTTGTAAGGTGGACTTTATACTCAATGTGGACGCAAATACACGATAGTTTTCATTGTCACTTATTGTCATGTGTTTACTATATTGTTTTGAAAATAAAAATACGAAATGCCAAGTGTCGATTTTTTCACGAACGCGAGCTCCTCGTGTCGCTGCGTCGGGGATGACCACGAAGCCCTCTGGCTGTGAGTCACAGCGGCCGTGTTGAGGCTGCGCCTTGCTTGTGTGTGCAGCTTGCCAGAGAACACGAATATGTCAATGCACGAACAACCAAAACAAGCTTTTCAATGTACCTTTCCTCAATTACACTTGCCGACAACGCCATGTAATGTTATCACTGCGTTTAATTTCAATTGGACTCGAGGCATTAAATTGAACAAATCCTCTTGCAGAGACCCGTGGCATTCAAGAGAACCCGCTGCTTCGGGGACATTCGCTGAACTCCGTCTGGTGTCACGAACCGCCTCGTTCCGGGGGTCGCGCGAACGTTCGACCACCACACACTTGACGCGACTTCAATCCCAACTCCAATCAGCCCTGGCAGGGATTAGGAGTTGAGCGATCAGGTGAGGTGAGGTGGCATCGAACCTGCCGACAATGAGGGCGGCCTATGGCACTCGAACGGCGAACAGCTGCAACACCGCTGAGCCATCTATATCCGTGAGTTGAAATGCACATTCACGCAGAGTGGAGTGTGCACACGACACCGAGGCGCGGTGTTTATTGCAGCGCAGGATGCTCGGACTGCCACTTGCACGTTCTGCTGCCTCCTCCTCCTCCACAACCTGGAACGCCGCAGCTGCTGGCGACTCCCTGGCCCTGTCCCAGTGCAGGCTGGAGACCAAACTCCTCAATAAGCTCGCCCGCTGGGTCTGTCGGGGTCGCGAGATGATGCTGTGTTCCAGCGCTGAACTTGGATCCACGTGCAGTGTGGCTGTGTGCGGTGTGATTGTGTGTGTAGTGTGGCTGTGTGTGGTGTGGTTGTGTGTGTGTGGTTGTGTGTGTGGTGTGGTTGTGTGTGTGTGGCTGTGTGCGGTGTGGCCGTGTGTGTGGGGTGGTTGTGTGTGTGGTGTGGTTGTGTGTGTGTGGCTGTGTGCGGTGTGGTTGTGTGTGGTTGTGGGTGTGTGGTGTGGTTGTGTGTGGGGTGGTTGTGTGTGGTGTGGTTGTGTGTGGTGTGGTTGTGTGTGTGGTGTGGTTGTGTGTAGTGTGTGTGGTTGTGTGTGTGTGGCTGTGTGCGGTGTGGTTGTGTGTGGTTGTGGGTGTGTGGTGTGGTTGTGTGTGGGGTGGTTGTGTGTGGTGTGGTTGTGTGTGGTGTGCTTGTGTGTGTGGTGTGGTTGTGTGTAGTGTGTGTGGTTGTGTGTGTGTGGTTGTGTGCGGTGTGGTTGTGTGTGTGTGGTTGTGTGCGGTGTGGTTGTGTGTGTGTGGTTGTGTGCGGTGTGGTTGTGTGTGTGGTTGTGTGCAGTGTGGTTGTGGGTGTGTGGTGTGGTTGTGTGTGGTGTGGTTGTGTGCGGTGTGGTTGTGTGTGCGGTGTGGCTGTGTGCGGTGTGGTTGTGTGTGGTGTGGCTGTGTGTGCGGTGTGGTTGTGTGTGGTGTGGCTGTGTGTGCGGTGTGGTTGTGTATGGAGTGGTTGTGTAACGCGGCAGCTGCGTTTGTTACGCAGCCGATGCTCTCAGAAGCACGTGGTTGTTCCACGAGCCAAGCGTTTGATTTCTGTCGATGTGATTTGCATAAATTATCCACCTCAATATAATGAGCAGCAGTTGTGATGGCAACAGCGAGGGTCAACACAACTCGAGATGTGGCGGGGTGGCTCACAGAAGTCCTCGGAGGTTCCTCTGGTCACGAACCAAACAACGGCGCCGTCCTGGTGAAGCAACAACTCCCTGCGAAATGTGCTCACGGATTCAGAGGTGCTCAACCGATTCGCATTCTTGAAAGAAACCTTTGTTCATGATATCCCCATAGCGAATTCGGGTTCGGACTTCCGCACATTTCCAACGGGTCCTCATTATACGCCCATTCACCGCCCGCTGCTGTGTGTGGCTCAAGGGGCCTTTGTGGGCGCTGAAGTGGCGTGCGGTGCAGACGTCCGCGAGGGAGACGGAGCCGCAGCAGCTTCAGAGGGCGCACCAGGAGGAGCCGCGATGATGATGCTCGCACGGCCGCCACGGGGCCTCGCGCCTCTGCTGCTGCTGCTGCTGCTCTCTGTGTGCACGAGTGGCGTGCTCGACCTCGCCAGCGCAGGTAACCACTGGACGTGCCGTCCAGCATGGCTGTGTTGCGTCTTGCTGGTGGATGGGTAATTAATTGTGTGAAGTTAGGGGTGATTGATAAACTGGAGCTAAATACCCAATTGTTTGTTGAAATGTTACATTCCGCCATACGAGATGACTCGATTGGGATTACACATGGCGACATCGGCGAAAAACTGTGTTTGAGTGGCAGGAATTGGTTTGTACCGAGATCTGGTACCGGTGTTGTGTTGGACTTTATGAACAGCGCGCCGCGCTGATAGACCGAGGCTGCCTGAGGAATATGTCCGGGTGAGGTCTACAGCGGGGAACGTGACGATGGCTCTTCGTCACGAGATGTTGGTCGACGCGAACGACCTCTTATCCACTGTGGATGAGAGGTCGCTGCTTTCGCACTCGTCACGGTGTTTGCCAAAATGTCCCAACGCAGGACCCTCCTGACAAGCGAGTCGTGAGACTCAAGTGAGGCTGGTTAAACGGCGTTGCCTGTATCGTGAATAACACCGAAGGGCGCGTGCTGGTGTCGCCGCCCCTACCGACGCAAGGGGCGATCAACCAGGCGCCGCAGCTGCTGGAGGAGCTCTCGCTGCTGGTGGAGGACGCGAACTCGAGCGACACGGAGCTGCGGGTGCTAACCGCGGGGGGCGGCGCGCCTCCACGCCGCTACCCCGCGCACCGCGTGCTGCTCGCGATGCGCAGCCGCGCATTCTCCGCGCTCCTCGCCAATGGCAGCAGCAGCGGCGGCCTCCTGCACCTCACGCTCAGCCCCGACTGCGCCAGCGTGTTCAGCGCCTTCCTACGGTACGCGTCGGTGGCGCAGGCTCCTGGCCCTGCTTGCCCCCCCCCCCCCCGAGCCAGATTCAGGTGTCTTGCTGTGGGGCAGCGCAACACGCGTTGCTCACGGCTCGGCAAGGCGAGTCGCCAGTCGATGAATGCTTCCCCCTGATCATTTCAACAGAGACACCTCTTGGTTGATAATTCACATAAATCACATTCAAGCAGTTTACACGTTCCACTTTTACGTTGAATGAATATTACTCATCTTTAAATGCTACTCTAGCTAAATACACGTGTCAATATCGATTTGCTTGTTTGTGTTGTTGCAGGTATTTATACACTGGGAAAATTGTAGTCAACGTTGAGCAAGTGATCCCTCTGTGCATGTTGGCATTAGAGTTCAAAGTGGATTCTCTGCGACTCGGCTTGTCAAAGTTCATGACGGAGAACCTGTGTCAGAGTCCTGTTGTGGCCTGGTACGAGTTCGCGGGGAAGGTCGGAGATCAGAGCCTCGTGGCAAAGTTCAACCAGTTCATCGCTTGGAACCTGTCCTCAGTCGTCAGCTCCCCGGAGTGGGCTGCGATGTCTGGCGAACACCTTCACGGCTTGCTTCAGCGATCGGATCTGGTGCTCGACAATGAACTGTCCCTCTTCAGTGCCGTGGCGCAGTGGATCGAGAGAAACCAGCCAAACAGCTCCACTGCCGAAGCCCTCCTCAAGTCCATTCGCTTCCCGATGATGACCCCGCTGCAAATCCTGCAGCTGAAGACAGAGTCTCCGGTTTTGAAGAAGTACGAATATTCCATCAATCACCTGCTCGACCAGTCGTTTCAATTCCACTCCGTATCTCCCGTTCAGTTTGCCAAATATTTCGATGTGAAGAAGGCCATGTTCATTCCACGCAACTATCTCTCGCCGTCCTGGGGCACCCTGTGGGCCATTCAGAACCCCGCTCGGGACGATCGCAGCATCGTTTTCCAGACGCAAACCAGCCCCAGCAACTTTGACTACGGCAAGAAGATTTCGTGGAACGTCGTGTTTTCACCAAGGAAGCTGAAGCTCGAGCAGGGCGTGATGCAGCAGCAGCAGCATCAGCAGCAGCAGCAGCAGGGGTACCGGGGCTCTCAGAGCAGCGGAGGGCACGCAGACCTCAGCCCCAGGCTTCACATCATCCCCGCCTCGCCAACCATCGGAGGAGCGGGCGTCAAGTACCAAAAGACGGTTCTGATCGGGAGCAAGAGGCAGGGCCGGATGATCGTGAGGCAGATTTCGAATTTCTATCAGAGCACAGATGAGATGGGGAACTTCTTAAAGGATGCAGACATCGTGAAGCGCTCCTCAGAGTACCTCGTGGATAACGCCCTCCACCTCCACATCATCGTCAAGCCCATGTACCAACCGATCGTTGACATGAAATGATGGCTTCACAAACAGCTGCCCTGGAGAGAGAGAGAGAGATAGCGCCTCCTGAGAGCCGTGGCGCGAGTTACTGACGCGCCATCCTGCAGGCGAGCAATGCAGGAATAGCAGTGAATTAACAAAGTCAATGACCCGTGCACTGACCACCCACGTGACCCCTTCTCACTTCCCCAGCATGGCTTGCTGCTGAAAGTGGCCTGGAGACAATCCGCGGAGTCGCTGTTGTGGTGGTGGTCGTGGTGGTGGTGGTGGTTGTGGTGGTGGTTGTGGTGGTCGTGGTGGTGGTTGTGGTGGTGGTTGTGGTGGTGAACGGGGTAAATGGTTGCAGGCCTCGACATCAGCTGGAGTCCAACGTCCCACAGAGGAGAAGGCCGCGCGTCTGCGTCGTCATCGTTCATTTGCGCTGCGAGCGTTTCTCAGCAGCACAAGATTAAGCGTCAGTGAGAGCGCTCTCGATGACGCTTCGCAACCGTGACTCACGACTGAGACTCACGGCTGTGGCTCACAGCTGTGGCTCACGACTGTGGCTCACGACTGTGACTCACGGCTGTGGCTCACAGCTGTGGCTCACGACTGAGACTCACAGCCGTGGCTCTTCACGACTGTGGCTCTTCACAATTGTGGCTGACAACTGTGGCTCACGACTGTGACTCACAGCCGTGGCTCTTCACGACTGTGGCTCACGGCTGCCTTTCACCACAAGGCACCACGCAGGTGTTCGCGTGTCCCCGGAACGCGTCTCGCGAGATCCCCCCCCCCCCCACTCCGTGCATCCATCCATTGGTGGATGGATGTTGACTCTCAGTGCTCACCATACTCGCATCTAATCGCGTGCTTACTCAACAATAATCGATTAATTGTAACAATCGTGGCGATTCTGCAAGTCGCTGCGGTTCGCTTGGAGCAGCTCTCCTGTTGTTATTCTCGTGGCTCTGACACAGTGGAAGCTGGATACAAGCACACGTTGCAGAAGCCACAGTTACAACATCAGCAACGCATGCTTACAGGACACTCGTGGAGGGAAGTTAAGACAACTTCGAAAATAAGCAAATACTTCGGATATAAGCACAGCTGGCCTTGCTCCCAATGGGCCTGCTCATCCGGGCGGCTGCGTTTCCACTGTCGACCAAACCCGAACAGATTCCTCGGCCAGCCTGGGTCTGTCAACGCCGAGCGGTCTCCTGGAAGAGAGTTGCGCCGAGACCGCTACCAGGTCCACAGATGCCCAATCCCAGAGCGTCCGGGTCAGAGCGGGACAGGTGGCAGCCCCCGTGCTTGCATCCAGCTGCGACTCGGACCAAGTCAGCGCTTCACGTCCCGTCTCTCCGTATTAACCGCGCACTAACCCAGTCAATAAAGACACGTGTTGCTACATGGACTCTATGGCTTTGTTTACATCGCAAATAGACACAGACAGAACACGACGACTGCCATTGCAATCACCACCGAGTCTAATCTTGGTGGATACAATGCTGCTGCCGCTGCCGCCTGGACTTACGAATTGTACCCTCATGGTCTGTGCTCTCTGGGCATCCACTCGGCCAATGGGAGGTCGCTCATCGTCAGCGGCTGCCCGCCCCGTCTGGGATGACCTCCACCAGTCGCCCGTGCTGTCGATTCCCTGTCCCCGTTGGAGCCCAGGCGCGAGAGCTCCTCGTCTGCCTTGCGAAGGAGTTCAAAGAGGCTCCACGCTGTGCCTCACCACCACCACCATCACACTGCAGCTCACAACAGCACAATCTCATCCACTCACCCACCCACTCACTCATCCACCCACTTACTCACCCACCCACTCACACACTCACTCACTCACTCACCCACCCACTCACCACACTGCAGCTCACAACAGCACAATTTCATCCACTTACTCACCCACTCACACACCCACTCACTCATCCACCCACTAACTCACTCACCCACTCACCCATACACCCACTCACCCACTCACTCACCCACCTACTCACCCACCCACTCACCACACTGCAGCTCACAACGCTTCGTTCTCTGCTTTTCTGCTTCTTCTCTCGCACTGCTTCACTGTGGAGTCCCCCCCCCCCATCGTCTCTTGTCCGTTGCAACTTTAACAGTGCTGCTTGTCGCTGTCCGCTTAACGTGTTGAGCTGTGCTCAGAAACTGTTTAAATAACATATTTGCTTTCTCACAGCCGCTGATCACAGTGTATAAGTCTAAAACTAAACGTGTGATCGTTGTATTCATTATTACACGCCCCCCAACGTGGTACCCTTTTTTATCTTTTATATTAAGTTCGCTTGCTTGATTGCGTGCGTGCTTGCGTGCTTGCTTGCTTGCTTACGACCGTGCAAATCTTTCGGTCGTTTTATAACACACTTCCCGTGATCCAATCGAGCTGACATTTTCCACACAGACTCGTTGTGCGTGACAATTAATTTTCGTGAACATTTTTTTCCAAAATTTTACACTGTTTAGGGATTTTTTTTAAAAATATTTATTTACCAATTGCTTAATGGTGGCAGACAATCATCTGACCCATAGGTGGCAGCCATCTCAAGCCAGAGGACGAGAGGACTCTAGCCGCCACGCATATAAAGGATTTATAGTGAAAAACTTTGTTTTTACGGGTAAATTTTTTACCACCTCGTATTGATGATGGGCTGAGTTAACCACCAGTCGTACCAGGATTGGAACTCACAACCTTCCAGTTGCGAGTCCGTCGCCCTCTATGCGCCACGCAGAGATCGCGACTAGTGAGATGTGAGGTCATCGAGAGACAATGATGCAGACATGCACACGAGTGAGATGGGAAGGAGATGGACATCGCGATCGTCGCCACAGCAAGCAGCTTGAGAGCGGCCACCGCAGCGCTGCGTGCAGAGAGGCGCCGCCGCAGCGGCTCCGAGCCGCAGCGCCGCTGGCTCGGAGCCGCTGCGCCCGAGCGGCGCACGCGGCTGGGCGCTGCGCGAGCGGCATGACGTGGCCGTGCTCATGGCGCTCCCCTTCCGTGTTGGCGAGATGGGCCACCAGCGCACGTGGACTTCGGGTGCTGGGGGCGCCACGGGCGCTGCAGGGCGATGACCTGCACGGCAGAGGGCAGTGCAACAACGTCCACGATTCATATTCTTGGTTCTTTCGGTAAAGTCACATAGACGGGTAATAATAAAATAATTACATTAAACATAATAAAAAAAATTCTCACGACGTTTCGGACGCTGTCTTTCCGACAGCCCTGTTCTTCACCTGAGGACGGCTGCTTGCGTTGTGGCCGAAACGTCGTGAGAATTGTATTTTATTATGTTTTATTTGTATTTTTCCCCTTCTACGTGACTTTACCGAAAGAACCAAGAAGATGAATCCCACTGACCAACGTCATCCATGTGCTGTGTCAAAGGGCCGTTGCCAGAAACGTCGCCTGTTATGTGATTGTCATTTCAAGGCCACGCGGTGCTGACGAGCGTGTTGAGTTGTATGTTGAATCCCCACTGGCACCACGAGGAGTTGCTGCAATCAAATCTCTGTGCAGGTCAAGGCGCGTCCCTGCACTTGCTGGCGGAAGGGCCTGCACGAGGAGCAGCTTGCTCTTCACAGCCCTGCCAGAGTGTCTGTGGCCTACTCATCCATGCCGGTCAGACGCATTGGAAGAAGAGCTGGGAGTACCCACACTTTACCCCATCGCACGCACGCGGCCGATTAACCTGTTTCTGAAACCCATCGCGTACAAGGCGATTAGTGATTCGTGCGCTGTGCTTAATTTGCCACGAGGCTCACGTGGTCACTAATCATCGACAGCGAGCGATTGCTGCGTGCGGGGTAGTCGGAAATCACAATGCGCGATCTCGTGCTTCCATACGCCGATTGGAAGCCTACCGAATAGATGCGATGAGTGATTTGTGTTGATGCGGACAACGACTAATGAGTGCCACCACGTGCGGGACCACTGCTGCTGCTGCTGCGGTGCGAGTCGCGGCACGTGGCCTGCAGCAGCACAGGCGCGGAGTGGCGATGGGGACAACTCATTCCATCAGCCACGCCTCCTCCACGGGGGGAGCTTTCACGAGCGAACCACGGAGAGGATGTCTGGCCGACTCGTCCACGATGGCCAGACGTATCGGAAGCGTGACCACCTTTTCATCCACTAAAATCTGCGCAACGAGTAATTGCGCGAATTGCACGGCGTGTCAGAGTTGTTAGATTCCATCTCATGATCTCATGACGTTTGTTGTAACTGACAGCATCTGGGCTATGAGCGGTGCTGAATACAAAGTTGCAATGACTCGCCGTCGTCTGGCAGGCTCGTGTTGAGTGAACAATATGCCACGTGGATTACCCCTTGGGATGGAGAATCTCGTGTCTCAGTGTCCGGAGTATCCATTCACAAATGCTTAGCAAACACGTAATGAGACGTTTACACAAAGATCCCCAGACTTTTGGGGCAAGTGCTGTTAGCGAGCACCTATGGAGCCCGGCACGGCACACGAAGGGGTGGGTGGCAAACACAACGCCCGGCCGCCTTTGTCTCCCCAGTGGCGATGTTTTACACATCTCACCAGGTACTCATTTAAGGGTTCGTAGAAAAATGCGCTAACCACTGCGCCACCACTCTCACACATGTACACTTGACACACACAGGAAACACGTGATATCACATACACCCAAATTGTAAATCTTATAATTATGCAGTGAATATTACACCTGGGCATATACACACGCCATGTAACGCACGCACGTGCATTCAGTTACACAAAATAATGAAATAAAATGAACTAACTGCGAAAGTGATGACTTCATGTAATCACCATCACGCCAATCACTCGGAATCGCATGCAGCACAGCACATGGGTAGCAGCTGTTTATTATCGAGAGATGTGATTGTGAGTCTGTTCATTTTGGATGTTTCGGACGTAAAATATGAAGACAAAATATACTCAATCCATGATAATTACAAAGCATTAAAAACATATAACCGGACCAAGAGATTGTCGTGGACTTTATATCGATAGACATATCGTAGCATCGCCATATCATTGCATCCCTCCTCCTCCATCACACCTGGACCCGCCTCCTTCCTCCCTGGCTGCGTGAGCGTCAGCCACAGCGCACCGCACGCGGACAGCACTCGGCATGGCGGACGACTCCGTCCGGTTCCACCCCGTGGTCAGTCCCCCCCCCCCCCCCCGCTCTGTCCGGCGGCTCTCCGCGAGCCCTGCGCGCGAGCAGCGAGGCGCGTCTGCTCGGGGCTCTGAGAGCCGGGACGGTAACGTCCACACAACGTCTGTGAGGGCGAGAGCTCGAACAGAACGCGCACGGCAGCGGCAAGCAGGTGGCATCGTTACCCATTCCGCTCAGGTTTCACACTCGCTGGGAGCTCGTGTAACACGGATCGTGCAGAGTTTGTTGTTTCGCTACAGCTGAGCTCATTCACAATGCGTGTTGCGTATTCACGAGTTCAGACTCGGCCTGAAATCCCCGGGCAGATGGGGGCTGCGCGCTGCACGGGGCTCATCTTCTCCTCCCAGAGGGGGCAGGGCGGGCCAACACGAACACCACTTCTTGGATTCTGCTCTATTTTTGCACCGAAAACGTAATATCACTCCGTGTGCTCCAGATGATTAGAACCATGCTCCACCTTGGTGTTGTTGTCGACTTTACTCCTGATGATGGATGGCCAGGGAAACGAAGCGCGGGGTTCAGTTTATCTTCATGGCGAGCCATGTAGAGACCGTGGGCTATTGTCTACTTTCAAAAACAATTCGTGGAAATTATAGCTGGGTTTCTAAAACATACAACTATTTTGCTGTGATTTTATACTGATATTTTAGGTTCTGTGATTTTTCTTTAAATGCAGGTTTTGTAAAAGCATCCATCCCTATCGTCACGGTGGGTGGTCGAGCGGCTTTGGTGGTGATTGGTTTGCTAGAGACGCCTATTGACAGGTGGCTAAATTGCAACGGTAACTGTGAAAGTTGTTTTCATCACCATCATTACGGTGCTGCCGATGCATTGAACGGTGCCTCATTTCGAGGTTTAACTCTGGAATCGTAACGGCTGCCATGGCGACTTCCCGCTGCGACCTTCCCGAGCCCACAGCTGCGGCGGCCAATCGGCGCCAAATGTCCCACCAGAAAAGGGGCTTTAAACCGCGCCCTGGGCCATCTGTCTGGGAATTGGCATCTGTGGTCGTTTCGTTAATATTTTATTCATTACACGGATGATCCCGTTTCGCCAGCCTCCCGGCTATCTTACAAGGGAGATCCGTGGTCAGGCGGCAGGCATTGATATTTGCCGCGATCTGCTGGTTGGATTCTGCTGGGACTTTATTCGATAGACCTTGATCAGGGGTGGGCAACCCAAATAGCAATATGTATATATTTTTTTCAAATTCCGTAAAACAACTCTTAATTTCAAGAGCCGCAATGCACGTCACGTGAATACGAGACGGTCCTGAATAAATGACCGTCACGAAGCGGTTCTTAGAGAATTTAGTTGTTTTCATTTATTTTATTTTTACCTACGTGACTTTAGAGAGCCGCATGCGGCTCTGGAGCCCGACCCCTGGCCTCGACTTGCCGAGGAATGCGTCTGGGTTTGGTCTTCAGTGGAACAGTTGGCGACCCTCGTTGAAGCCGATATTTAACTCTGTGCCTATGAACGTGCTGAATGTGTTGTGGTGAATCCAGGTGAGGTTGTACAGGACCATAATTGAGGATGTGATTGAAAACTCCATTGAGTTTTTTTTGGAAGAAGGAGTCGAAAAGACTGTCTTGAGAGATCTAAAAAAGGTAAGTCGAATTGCTCCCATTGCCACAATATCGTGATGCGAGTACTTTGGATAATGGTGCGTGAGTAGTCGTCCCAACAGTCTGATGCAGGCTATACGGGAGATCGGTCTTTGTCTTATAAAGGGTCGCGCACACCTCGCAGCATGCCCAGCCCACATCAAGATTCATCACGCACGCCATATTCATCACAAAGCCAAGAGGAAAACGCAGATGTCAAAGACAAAATGAAACAAAGTTAACCAAAAGAGAAAATGAATGCCTTTAGTCTGATCTTAAAATCACCGACTGAGACACTGCGGAGTCGGAGGTGTGCCAGACCACGGGCTGCAGACGGACCGCGCTCCGTTCTGCTGCCGCAAGCCGAGTGAAGCTCCTCTCTCTGTCGCGGATGAGGAGAGAATCCTTGAGAGGAAAGATCTTGAAGGAGCCCGAGGCGCGTCTCCTGCTCCTCTGAGCGCGTCCCCAGCGTGCTGCTGGTTTCCTGTCGCAGCGCTGTGCTCGGCGGCTGTGTGGCAGTGTCAGCGTAGCCAAGACGAAGCTCGTCTTGGATACATCGAGATAAACATCGGACTTTCGCTATACTGTACTTCTGTACAGTTGACAAACTGTGCTGAAACAAACTTTACACTTCATAATTTATTTTTAGGGTCAAATCGCTAAAGTAAAATGTGTCATACCCTCCTCCACCTGACACACCCAATTAATGAGGGTGCCACGGGGCCACACGTGCCACGCTATTACGGCTTCAGCAGCACCACGACCACCGGTGTGACGCGATCCTCACGGTGGACAGGCGGGTCGCGACGTTTTTGCCGGGAGTCAAAACCAGCATCGTCAGGCGCCCGCCACAATTATGACATCTCCTCCAGCCTTGGGCCTTCAGTGGGTTGGGTGTGATGCCATCTTTGTCATACTTAAAGGTTCGTGGGTTTGCATAAATTATAATGCCATGAAAGCAATCTGATCCACAAATCAATAATGAATCCTCACATTGGTTATGAAAGTCTCCGTGCTCGAGTTAAACTTGACACTTTGTGCTGCACGACATCGTTTCGGATCTCTGATCTACACTCTGGACTCCAGCAAAGCTCCCTCGGCGCTCTCGTACGAGATAGCGGCGTCGCCTCTGAACGCCCCGTGTGCGTTTGTCTCCTCCCGTGCAGACACGCCACGGATGCAGTCACGTGTGTTGTTCACCTGGCGCGTGACGTTGCTTTACAGCTCTGGGAGCTTAAGCTCCTGCAGTCGAATGCAGTTGGCAGCTTTCCCGTCGACAGTCAACTTCTCCTGCTCAAGGCTCACGTGCACTTCCTGCAGATCCCCTGTTCAAGTGAGGCTGCTGCTCCCACGCGTCGCGTTTCCAGCCGATTCCATTGCCCTCCACGCCGGGCGGTCACGTGCCGCGTTGGGCCCAGACGGTCCGGGGAGTGGCGTCGGAGTTTGGGCGTCGGAGTTGATTTGTGTACCGAGGTCTGTTCCGGTATTGTTTGGAAGTTAATTTAGTCAACAGTAGATGGCAAAAAAAACAATAATTGTACATAATATGGTAGTGGTTGAGATAATGAGTGGGGTGTTATTAAAAGTGGTGGTGTAGATATGGTGACAGGACAGGTGGGGGGGGGGGGTGAGGGGTTTGAGGGGTTTGGAGTGGGCTTCTCTTCTCTCTGCCAGTGATGACACTCCAAAGACACAGCAGACGATCAATACACCGTCATATAAACAAACAAACAAAACTTGTTTTACGCATTCCGTCAGCCACATGGCATGGCATTCTGGGAGTGTAATTCAATAAACATTTGGTTACAAACACTACAAGCTGACTATGAGCTAGTTTTGACAATCGGTGTCTTGCCAGCAGTCAGGTTTGCTTGAACCAATGCTGCTGAACTCCCCGGATGTCGATAGGCAAGATGTGTATCGATTATTATTTTGTACTTCGTCTGACATCAACGCAGGATATTTGATAACGCTCCAGATGGTAACATTGAAACCTCGGTCTCATTGTCGTCACATTGGAACCCATTGGATGTTTTAAATGAGTACAGCGGTGTATGAATAATGTTCGTTTACAAGCACATCAAAGTTACGTCTACGATGTGAGACATTACGATGAGACATTGTATGGTAAATGAAATGACACTCTAAATTGCACTGTATTATGCTATGATCATAAGATATTATCTTTGTGAAAGTATTTAATTAGACCTGGTGCCCTGACCATTTTAAAACGCATAGAACATTGCATTCTTTACATCCTAGCTCGGTTGATTGCAGTTTGTGCCAAACACAAACCGGCCGGGAAGAATTCGGCCTGAGCAGGAGCAAGGTTGCTCTGGTGCATCACAAGCTCCATCGCCAGAGTTACTCCTCTGTCCAGTTGCAGGACTTGGCTCCCAGGGTCCTCCGTCTGACCTTGAGCTGACCTCATTTCAATGCATGAATTCCTCTTTGAGTTGTCCAGTACCTAGCGATGTTTGTAAAGAATAAACTACTTTTAAAAGGCAAAAGTGGTTTAATGAATGTCCTCTGCAACAATTTCAAAGCCGTTAACATTGAGAGAGCTGGGCACGGAGTTTGTGCTCGGGGTGCTCGACTTGCGTGCGTGTGTGTGCTGCGTGCTGACGCTGCAGCAAACATCGTGGCCCAGAATGGCAGGAACTTCCACCAGCTGCACACGACCAACTCGGTGAGTCGCACGTGGTTCTAGCGACGCATACACTCCGATGGCGCTTGGTGAGATGCGCAGAAGCGGAGCGGAACCTGCGACTGCAGCTACGAACTCTAAACCACGGACCACATAAGTTTACACTGCCCACAATCTACACGTGAAGGTGGTGGGTGGGTGCGTCTGCAATCCACCAACTTTCCGACGAAAAAATTGATTTAGCTAAATCGTTTACAACAGAGTCTCTCATAGATACTCTTAATTTTCCATACAAACGAAGAATCACCACAGACTGCCAGACGAACACTTATTCGCAGGCCCGTGCCGCATACACCACATGCCACATGGAGATAGCTGCCACTGGGGGTCACCTTGGATAGACTGCAGTAGGGCATTGGGATGGTTTAGTTGGGATGCGAGTTGCTGAGGCCTTTACAGGCGTTGTCAAAGCAAATTTGTATCCTTATTTTGAGAGAAGGGAATTGGTACGAGCCTACTAAACATGTCGCAATATCTGTTTGGGATGTTGGCGTAACCCTTACAATGGGGACCATTGCCATTTGAAATAGTTTGTAAACTAGCGCTATTAGCAGGTTGTAGTGAGCTACAGACCATCTGTTCACTACAAACATTCTACGTGCATTCCTCAATGATCATCTTACCTAGATTGTGGTTAGTATTGTATTTGGGGCTCTGAAGAGTTGCAGCTGAGCTCTTGTGAGTCCAGCTGAGGCCGTAATGGAGGTTTGGCCAGCAATGCTGGACTCGAAGTTGATTTTGGGCTGACTCCATGCGCTGTGCTCCACAGGCAGAGTCAACCGTGACCTGGCCATGCACCACTGTGCGCACTGCGATGTCAAGACCAGCGCCTCCCAATGCAGGTAGGAATCGCCGGAGTGGGTTTGCGCTTCTCAAGTCCCTTTCACCAATCGGGCCCTGCACGAATGCTGCGTTTTCACGAAATTGGCAGAGCGTGGCTCATTTTCCTGTTCAATGACTTCAAGAGATGTGCTTCTCCGTGGGCTTGAGTCGGGAATCGAACCCAGGCTCTTCTTGCTGCGAGGCACAAGTGTACCGATCCCTGTACCACCCTGCCACCCAGGTGTATAACAGACAACCTTTCTTTCGACTCCACAGAGCAGATGCCAGGTCCAAACCACAACTACAAGAAGGTGGTTGTCATCCAGTCGGATGGCAGACTCGCCATGTATGGGCGCAACCAGCAGGTGATCCAGCTGGGCCACCTCACCATCTCCTCGGCTGGGTCCGCGCTGGGCCTGCCTGCGAGCACCGGCGGCACGGCGCTCCACGCGCCGGCGCCTTGCACGTCGCAGGCCCCGGACCGTGCGGAGGAAAATTCCACGGAACCTCCGCCGCTAGGCCGGGAACCCGGCCCACGTGCCGCACCCCACCGTGCGGCGCCAGTGGCTGCAGACACCGCACATCTCCAGCAGCCGGTGGAAAAGATCCAGCAGCGATGGCACGCCGAGGACCGATCTGCTGTCGACAAGGTGAGATGGAGTGAAGTGTTGTCGTAAAGGGGTTGGTCATCTCGTTCATTAGAATTTGGACAAGGAAAAAAAAGCCCCATGTCTGATCCACAGCGCAGCTAACGGCAGCAGTGCCAGGCATTGTTGGTTGTTGCCGAGTGGAGTGACGCGGCGCTGAAGTCGCGGCACCACCGCAGCCTCCACGTGCCGGTGTTTCTCGACATAATCGACACCATCTACGCTTTATCCAGTTCACGAATGCCGAATTTGCCTCGTTGAGCGTTCATTTATCAGCATCGACGGCGAATGGTGAAGCATCTCCAGTGACTTGGGATAAAGGTTTTTATTTTACAAGCGCCGGTTCAGATTCTACTAATGTTGGACTTGATAACATATTTCTATGGAGCCTCTTGTGTTGCTCTTACAAGGACACTCGTGCTCCTTGTGACAATCTTTACACCGCTGCATTTTAGATCAAGAGCCATCGGCTGCATTTTTGACTGGGTAACGATTCTCCACTTATTCTATCTTGCAGTTTAACTTTTCAAATCTATTTGGAAACTTAAACAATTGGGAACCATAGCTGCAAGAAGACAGCGTGGGTCCAGGTTGAAGGCTGGAGAACACGACATTTATGAACGTAGTAGTCCAGCAGAGATGTCGATGGGAGGACAGAACTCCTTGCTTGTGAGTGGAAATCTGGAGTTAAAGCCTCGAACTTTTGTTGTATGCATGAACAATTTAATGATTATCCTACAGTGCCATTTACATGAACCTACTTGTGTGCTGGTTATTCTAAAGGAATTCCTGGAGGGGGCGATTTCTATCCATGGAACAGCCACTGGTGACTTCTCCATCCAAGTTATTGACTCGTCAGGTGACGGGTCTGAGTCAAACCCTCACCACCCTCCCCCCAGCCAGGATTAGAACTCAACCTTCTGATTGGTGCAAGCCGTGCCTGCTTACTGCTGGACCACCTGGCCTGGTTCATGCACAAATCATAACATGTAACTTATCTAAACCTGGACCTGAAACCGAGGACTACATTGGTAGTGATTTAATCATGTGACCGTCTACAAAGTGATGCCGCCCGTTCCAGCGTCTTGCAAGCGAATTATCCAACGATCGCAATTTTCCTGTTAGCGGGGGGGGGGGGGGGGGGGGGGGGGGGGTGGGTAACGATCATTGCGCGCATTCGGGTTGGACCGGACCCGAGAGAGTGCACAAAAACAAATGTTCAGACTTGCTGGAGCCTCACACGTAGCCTCCTGTTCCACCCAACTGCCAGGTGCGCTGATTGCAGCGTCTCACCGTAGCTACTGGATGCATCTCAAACTCTCCTGACAAAGGGCTTGAGCGCGAGCGCTGTAATTTCGCGAGCGGCATCTCGCCGTGCCTGTGCGTGCCCCCCCCCCCCCCCCCCCCCCCCCCCCCCCCCCCCCCCCCAGCGCGAGCTGGCATCCCTGCAGAGGAGTGCCAGCCAACTGGCCGTGCTGGAGGAGCTGGAGCTGGCCGTCACCGGCTGTGTGAGCGCGCATAAGGTAAGCTGGCGGCTCGCAGGGCCTCGCTCGGGAGCCGCAAGCCACGAGCATGGATCGGACGACATCAGCAATTCGTGGAGACGATTTAAACGGCGGCGTGCGTGGGGGGATGGAGAGAGGTCCAATGTCACGCAGCCAGAGTGCGCCGTGACGACTGTTGACGTCACAGAATATGGAATTGCCCCCTACTCCGATGTGTTTTCTTTCGGGTCATGCGGCGTGATGTGCGACATTTCACTCCACTTGTTGGAAGCCTTCTCAGGAACTAAATCGTAACCGAATCGGTTCTTGAATCATAACTGGATCGGCTTCTGAAGAAGTTCGCTGCGCCCTCGGCATGACGTCCCAACGTAGCGGACATTAGCCCCTGTAAGATGGGGGGGGGGGGGGGGGGGAGAGGGGTCCCCACCGCAGCTCGTGAGTCTGGAACGTCTCCGTCCCCCCGGGGCAGCGCGGAGACAGAGACGCTGAGCCGTGGTTTGGTTTCCGTCGCAGGAAGGACGAGGAGCGCTGGACGTGTCGGCGATGTCGGATCCCGATTACCTCGACTCGCTGCTGGAGCCGCAGCTGCTGCTGGAGCTCGACGGGAGCGCGGCACTGCAGGAGGGAGCAGCAGCAGTGGCGGCAGCAGGAGGAGTGGGGTCAGAGGTGACGCCCAGAGTACAAGAGTCTGAGCCCAGCCTGGAGCCGTGGGACGAGGGGGAGCCGTTCTCCAACGTCGCGGACGGCAGCGCTGCTGCTGCTGCTCTGGGAGACGATCGCCTCTATCTGCTCAACAGGTGCCCTGCAGCTGTCGACTGACAAAGCTGCTGCTTGTTCTGTAGAACAGTATAAAGCATGTCAGCAGTGTTGAGTTCATTTAGAATATCGGATTGATGAGCAGACTACAACACACTCGTTTCAAACATGTGAAAACCGTCATTAGTCAGAAGTAGTTCTGCGATGTCCACTTTAATGGGACATTCCCTGAGAAAGTCTTGCTAAACTTCTTTAACATTTCACAATAAATCACATACAGCCAATTCGCCCAGATTCCTCCCATTAACTCGGTCTTGCAGGTCAAAGATTTCCCAGAAGCAGCCTCTAAACGGTGCCTGTTTTTTCTGCACCCTCGTCTCCTGGCTAAACTGGTGGGCTGAGAAGCTGAAATGCTGCCACACACCTCTGGCTGTGCTCGCAGAGAGAGCCACGTGTTCCCTGTGTAGGAGAGCGCCTTAGGCCTAAGGATTGAAAGGGTTGAGAGAGTTGGGAAAACACCTTTGCAAGTATCGCTTCCAATGGTCCCGGCACACCAATATCAACCGGCACGCACACAGCAGAAACATTTCCATTCCAGCCCATTTTGGAGTGGCATTTATCATTCCCCTTATCAAGGCAGTGTTGCAAAATGCACGAACAGTGTAATGTACAATGCAGTACAATGTCACATATGTCACGTATCCACCCTGACGAAGTAGCTGCCAGCGCCCAGTGCTGTTTGTGCTTGGTGGTGTAAAGGTACATTTCCTCTAACTTTTGGATTCACCTATAGTTGGTCGGATTTGTGATGTAGCGTACATCATTTGTTGTTATGTCTTGATCCTGTACTCGAGGGACATTGAAAACAACGCTGACTTTACATTCCAGCGATGCGGAGAACCTGCTGGAAGACCTGCAATTCGAAACCTCACCGCAGTTAATAGATCCCGACAGCTTCACTACGCACGCCGGAGTCGGCCTGGAATCTCTGGTGGCTCTGTCGCACCACGCTCAAGGCGACTTCCAGATGGACCAGATGGACTTTGACTTTGACGGTGTGCTCAATGTCAAGGAGGAGCCAAAAGTCTGTGGCCTGAAACCCTGCGGCGGCACCAGCTTCGGCTCCGAGGAGGCGCGGCGCGATGCGGACGAGCTGCCCTCCCTCCTGCAGCTCGACGGCGCTGCAGACAGCTCCGAGGAGCCCGAGGGGCACGACCTGGGCAGCGCAACCACCACGAGCGGCGAGGACGACGACAGCGACGGGGTGGACGACATGGACGCCAAGTTCCTGGAAGAGGAGCTCGTTGTGGAGGAGGTATTTGACCTCGAGGCGTTGTGTAGCCGATGCGGTTCGTGGTTCTGTCACGTGCCGTGTGAACATTCCGCTTGGAAAAAGGTGCAGGCCTGCAACTGCTTGCTCGCACCGCCGCTAGCAGAAGGTCCTCCGCTATTGAGAGCTCCAGGGAGTCCCGCTAGAGGGTATTTGGCCTACTCTTTCACGCTGGTGAGGTTTTAGAAGGTGGGAATACCTGCACATTCTATCTGCTTGTTTCTCATTGTCTTGTAAACATTCTCAGTACCGTGCATGACGTGCCCATACACATCGGTGCAAGTGAACCACATCTTTTGGTACAAGTGCAGTGGCTTACTAATATATTCACTGCGCAGTAAACATGTACACACACACACACGCACGTCCTTTAAGTCAGGTGGGAGCCGTCGAGGATAACCCGCTTCAAAGAGACACCTGGGTAACAAAGCAATATGCACTTGTATGGCCGTTCTGTCAATCGACTGTTTGGGAGTTGACCATACTTCGCCGTGCTGGTCAGTGCGGGATGATGATTGTGAGGGGAGTGCAGAGCAACAGCGAGGTCGAGCAATGAAGCACATGACCCCCCCCCCCCGTCTCCCCCTGTGCCCACTCCTCCCGGCAGGATCCTCTCAACTCCGGGGACGATGTGAGCGAGCAGGACATGTCCGAGATGTTTGATGTCGATAACGTGGTGGTGTGTCAGTACGAAAAGGTATGGCGACACTGCATTCACCACAACCACCACGGCACTGCAGGTCTCACCCCACTTGGCACTCTGATTTTTCCCTCGCACTCTCTCAGTCTGGGATGCCCTCCTCCCATCGCTGTCTCTTCTCCAGCTCTCGTAACAATAACACTGCCCATATAGAAAAACCGTGTTACATTCCGACCTAATATGACTGACGATGCTGTTTGTTGCTGGTCATTGACGTTTTTGGGCCCTTGTAATTTACATCCGTGAGTCCTTTATCAATTGCAATGCTCTTGGCTTCATGGGCTGCAGTTAAGACTGTAGCGGGAGATGAGTTGATTTATTTTTCACTCTGCTGACTTCAGATCCATCGAAGCAAGAACAAATGGAAGTTCCATTTTAAGGACGGCATCATGAACCTCGATGGACTGGACTATTTCTTCTCCAAACTGGCCGGCGACGCCGAGTGGTAGCTCCGAGCCTCGCTCCACACACGTGTGTACGCGCACACGTGTGTGTGTGTGCACACCCACGTGCACCTACGTGCACGCGCTTGCTACGAGTGACGCAGCAGCCCTTGTTTACTTGTGTTCGTGAGTTTAGGCAGAGTTGTGATGCTCACAACTTAAAATTTAGTTAACAACTACAAACAATCTCATTTGTAATAGTTCAGTGCCATTTACAGAGGGGGGCACTATTGGTGATATTTCTTCCATAATCTCTTGAAATGGTAGTTATTAAAGAGTTGACTTCACATGAACACTGGGTTATTATATTGCAATGAAAACTATTATTCACATTTGTCTTGGTGATTTGCCCAATATTCGGTAATGGAAACATTGGCTTGTGTGGTCTTTGTTGTTGACAAAAATGAGATGAGAATTATAATTTTCCAGTCTGAGGAACGGGGGCCCCTGATGCACGGAGCATGACCTGGAGAGCTACCCACCGCCTCCCCGCTGCGGGTGGTCCGGGTGATGCGGTGTTTGGCACGATGTCCGATGTTCCGCTCCACCTGCTTGGAGCTTCTCTCCGCAGCACAACCGCGAAAACTCGTATTGTGTTTGTTCATTTAAAGGTGCTTTAAAGTGCATGGTTTTGTAATGTGTATCATTTATCACATTCATACTTGTACTCGTGCACATTTTGGAAGAATATTATATTTTTGTGATTTTCAGCTTCATTGAAAAGTGGTTTCAAGTACTGTATATATATTTTTTTACAAAGCAGTGAACACACATTGGCTGTTTGCTGATAATAAATTGCTTTGTAAATTGTCTAGCAAATTATGTGTCTGTGTAACGGGTTCCGGAGACACTTGTAGATGTAACTTCTTTATTACAATACAACACTCCAACAGTCCTGATACTCTGTTACAGCCTAGGTACACAGCCTAGCTACACAGCCTAGATACTCTAGATACTCTACTCTGGCTACGCTCGCCCTCACAAGGTCGTAGAGTCGGGAGTTCCAGAGTCCCACCACTGGCTCTCACAGCATCCCAGGGTCTTCAGATGGCTGGTCGTGGGTCTTGGGTCTTGAGTTACAACTGGGCCCCGATCGTCCAGGGAGCTCTCCTTTTATGCCTGGTCCAACGAGAGGGGTGGGGCCGTGTGCGCCACCAGACATCCCACAGAGCACGCACAGCCCTCCCCGTTGGCGGCGCCCAGGGGATTAAGCGCCTGGGAACCCAGCGCCTGGCGCCCAGAGGCTTAAGCGTCTGGACTCGCCTGGGATCCCAGAGCCCCCAGCAGCCCCTCCCTTCTTATGTCACTACATCTGTAACTCGGTGAGACATTGCACATCTCATTTATACATGGCCTCTCTACACGAAGTAATACTTTTTATTTTTACACCACCCTCCTGTGAGTGAATTTTCTCAACGCATTGGTTCAACACAGGGATGTTGAATGATCACCAGAATGCGGTCCCGTAAGTCGGGAAGCGGTCACAGACTCCAGTGGAAAGCTACGTGATGAACACACCGATTGTCAAGGCGCAGCAATATCCAGCTCGCGCCACTGCTGCTCGCTGGGCCTAGAGGGCGCTCGACGTCCTCGAGTTTAGAGACCTCTTCCCCGCATGGACGTTGACAAGGTGGGTGTACCCACACTGTACCCCACCGTGTACGTCGTGCCGTGCCAGGGGATGGACCTCCTGGACTGCAAGTCCAGTTCGCTCACCATTACCCCACGGCAGCAGCTCCCTCTGTTTCTCAGTTAAAAGCCAAAACGTGTCTGCCTATATTTGCGTCAAACCGGTAACGAGTAGTTTCGCCGGTTTTTCATGCAGGATACTGGAAATGCAAAAAATAACTGTAACAACCCGAGTTCAATACAAGCAGAATGGACCGGTTTCAATACCCAGCATCTCGTCGGCAGAATCCGGATTTATTCAGCCAATGCTGGTGAACTGCCCGATGTGTAGCGGCAAGAACCGTCGCTCTGTTCGATATGGGGGCCCGAGTTTGACGCGAAGCTCGCACAACGCGTGGAGAAGGGAACGATGAGACGAGCCGCCTCCTCCCCACATCCTGCTTCTCCACGTGCAACGTGGGACCACATCTCGACACTCTAACATGCACGGTCCTCCCTCCCCTCTGGCAGCATAGCGACGTGTCCGCGTTGTTCCGCTCGCCGCGGGCCCCGGGCGGCCCTCCGCGCCATCGGTGGCCGCGTGGGTCGCCACGAGGAGGCGAGCGAGCCGGGGGGGCGGGGGGGGCATTGCCCCGGCGTGGCCGGGCGGCAAGGGGTGACGGAACCTCGCTGGGCATTCGTGACTCAGTTGCCGCTCTATGCCGGGGCCGCCGCATGCGCCCTGCCTCTCACGGTTTATAATTAGAGCAGCGCTCGTGCAGCAGCGAGGGACACCTTGATCTGCTTCCCGCACTGGGGTCCGTGGCACGGGCCGAGACGCTCCGCTTCGCTCGACGCGCGGCCGTTCTGCCGCTCCTCGTGTCCCAGCTGCTGCTGCTGCCCGCGCCGGTGAGTGAGTGTCACGTGGTGAGCGTCTCGGCAAGTGAGTGTCACGGTGAGTGAGTGAGTGTCACGTGGTGAGCGTCTCGGTGAGTGAGTGTCACGGTGAGTGAGTCACGGTGAGTGAGTGTCACGGTGAGTGAGTCACGGTGAGTGAGTGTCACGTGGTGAGTGTCACGGTGAGTGAGTGTCACGTGGTGAGCGTCTCGGTGAGTGAGTGTCACGTGGTGAGCGTCTCGGTGAGTGAGTGTCACGGTGAGTGAGTGTCACGTGGTGAGTGAGTGTCACGTGGTGAGCGTCTCGGTGGGTGTCTCGGTGAGTGTCACGTGATGAGATTATCAAGCCCCCCCCCCCCCCCCCCGCTGTGCTGCGTGTTAAAGCGCAGCTGCACTCGCGTCTCAAGTGAGACTGGACCAGCAGCGTGGGTTCAAGTCTGACTGCCGACGAGATACTGAACAGCAACACCGGGCCAGAGTTTGCAGCTTGTATTAAACTAATGTTGGGATGATGAACTCCCAGAAGAAAGAAGGCCGTGGTTTATGGGAAGGCACAGACGTGTCAGGAACGGGCGTTTTGTCTTCTGTTTCAGCGCGGCGAGCGATGCGTTCTCTGCGCTGTGTGCTGCGCGTCGCTCGTGGCATCGGGCACAAGAACGCGCGCGGAGCAGTGACCCTGACCCCGCCGCCACGTCGGCACTGTGCACGGTTGCGTATTTATAGCCGAGTTGTCCGCTCGTGAAGATGCGATTTGTTTTGACGGAGGGCGGCGTGGGCATCGCGTGGGGGGGCTGCTGCGCCCCTTCGCCGAAGGCGGAATGGCGAGACGCCGCCACCGACTCGCTCCCGTTGAAGCCCCCTCGTCCTGGCCCTCCGCGTTGGCGTTTAGCTCCTGAACCTATTGCTGCTGCCATCATACTCAGAAATAGAACAATGGAAGGATACAGTGTGTTTAAAAATACTCCTGTGGTACACACTACGCTTGTTAAAACATCTATTGATTTAAATTATTTAACTGATTATAAAATTCAGTATGGAGAAAAAAACGTACGAGAGGTGAGAACGTGATGCTGAGCGATGCCAACGATGGTAGAGGCCGCGCCATGTGCGTCTTTTCGTTTTGTCGTTTTTTACGCCTCCTTTAGCCTCGATGTAATATTTTACCATATCACAATTTTGCATTCAACTGGCACGTATCATATGTAATGATAATTACAAATAATTGTAACAAATGAGTGCATAATAAAAATTCCGGCTATGTAATGTACCTGATGACATGTATTGATGTCACCTCGTGAAACGGGATGATTACCGCTCAATGGAGGTGGCTCAGCGGTAGAGTGATCAGAAGAAGGTTGAGAGTTCAACTCGCTGGGGGTTGACTCGGCCCATCACCCCGCTGGAATCGATAAAATTAGAACCACTTCGTCCTTGTCTTTGGGATAGACTCGCCCCAGTAATCACCATGGGAAATGTCCACCACTGGCTCAGGGCAGGAGCTGAGCACCGCTGCAAATGTTATTAGAGCAGTCATATCGCAAGACTTGATTACCGAGCGGAGCCGGTCTTGTTAGCAGTGACATCAGCGGTGGGGAGGAAGAGATTTGTGGATGAGGACATTTCTCATCAGGTCGAGCTGCGGTGACCCCCCCTTGTGTTTTCTCGCCGATAGCCCCGTCGTACCACCGCGCAGAATAAGCTCCTCGCAGCGACGATGCGTTACGTCAGCCTCGCGACTCGCTGTCGGGTTTGTTGTTCACTCACTCGCGATTGGGGGAGTGCACGTGGTGTGGTGGCGTGTGGGGGGGGGGGGGTACAGGGTGCTGGGTTTGGCGGCAGTGCGATAGTTGGAGCCCTGCGCTGTGAACCCGGCCGAATCGGTCCTAGGCCTCTCCTAGGTTGACTCGGCCTTAAACGAGTATCCGGTGCGATGTGTAGACATCAGAACTGGGGAGAGACGAAGGGGCGTGGTGCTGGCCATTCGTCCTCGCGGTCACTTCCGGGCTGCATCGGTGCTCGCTAACAGCGCTTGCTTGTTCAGGCGATATGGGGGAATTGTTTTATCTGTAATGTGGGAGACTGCCAGGTTTTCAATGCATGTGTCATGGTATAATTGTGTACTATATATAAATGCACATTTTAACAAAGTGCAAAATGCATCGTAAAAAAACCACATTGGATTTCTGATATTTTGTAATATTTTGTGTATGAGTCTTATGTATTAAAACGTTTCAAATGTCAATAGGCGACCAGGTTGGTGGTGCAGTGGTCACGCTCCTGCCTCGCAGCCAGAAGGCCCTGGGTTCGATTCCCGACTTGGGCCCCTTTCTGCGTGGAGGTCGTGTTCTCTCCCTCTGTTCTGCGGTTTCCTCCCATCGCTAAAATAAACATCCCTGGTGTGAGCAAACGTCCCAATGCTGAAACAATACCAGCAAATGACTCATTGGGTATTACACGCAGCAGCAGCATTGCCCCTCCTGCAAACAACTTGGCAGGACCCTCCGATAACACGAACGAGTTGAGACTCGGGGACACGTTCCTGAGTCAACACGCGCAGTAGAGAACACATCTCGTACTCTGGTTCTTTCGATAGTCGCGTCGGTATAAAACAAATTAAATCACGACGTCTCGGGCGCAACACAAGTGCCCCTCATTAGGTGGGACAACTACAGCAAGAAACAATTGTGCTCAAGTGGGCTATTGTTTCTTGCTGTGGTTGTCCCACGTGAATGACGCAGACGCTTGTGTTGCGCCCAAAACGTCGTGATTTAATCTATTTCTACCTACGCAACTTTACCGAAAGAACCAAGGAGTATGGATCCCTGCAGTCACGACAACGTCAACTCTAGATTGAACGCCTCTCATCTTGCAGGATTACTCTCTCCATGGTGAACATGGCGAAGGTGATGTACACGGGAGTGTCGCAGATCCGCTCCATGTGGGAGACCCGCATCACCAAGCAGAAGGTTCGACAGCAGCGGGAGCAGGAGCGCAAGGCCAAGAGCGCCATTGAGAGGTGGGGACTGCCACTCCGACACACTCCGCACACTCCGACAGCAGCAGCAGCCCGAGAGGAGTCGCACGCGCCTCGGGCTTCAACGCCGAATCAACCCCCTCGCGTCGCATCTCAACCAGTCCAATCCTTGGCCGCAGTCTAGAAGAGGCCATTTGACCCCAGTGGCACCTGTGCCCGTGCAGCGCCCGCCTGCAACTCCGGCTGTCGTCTGCCAACACGGGCGATGGTGACATCTGGTTTATGAAGTCGGCGATGCCGAGAGCTCAAACTTGCATTGAGGTGGTGCTCAGTCCCCGTTTTACAGTCCTGTAAAAGTTCCACATTACTGGAAGTTCCACGTTACTTTGGGTTGTGTTGTGCTGTATATCCATAGGACAGCCACTGGTGATTGTCGAGGTCTGTTGGCCACGAGAGGGCTTCAGCAGAGAGAGGGGTCGCCTCGTTTCGCTGTTGAAGGAGTGCGGACTTGTGGTTTATTGTTCGCTCCAAAGTTCCGAGTTGCATGGCCACAATAGCAGTCCTGTGGCTTGTCTTTCATCTTCCATTTCATGAAGAAGTACGCATCGGCCTGTTGTTGATGTTCCGATGCGCTTGATGGCACCCCAAGTGATGGTGAGGCTGTGTGCGTGGTGACTGCGCCAGGTTACGGGCAGAGTGGCACACGCACGTGGATGTCGCCGCCGTGAAGGAGAAAGTGACGCGGGACGAGAGCCGCGTGGCGCTCCGTGTGGAGGGGGAGGACTGGAGGGTGAGCGCCGCCGCCACACAGGCCACGCCGTTTGGATCAAGGTCTTCCCGCACCGTGTCGATCGTGGGGGGTTTTTGACTATACTTCACCATTTCGTGTGGGTAGGAAGGCAGTGCCACCGCCGCGCCGGTTATGTCCACGCGCTCCGCTCCAGGCGCGCGCCGACCGTCGACTCGCAGCGGCGGTGCTCCCAGTGACGCCGCCGCCGCCGGGTGGACACGGGCTCGTGGGGCCATCCCTGGGACTGTCGCTGGGACCCGCGATGCGCCGCGTGGGTGCTGCGTGGGTGCTGCGTGGGTGCCGTGTGGGTGCTGCGTGAGTGCCTGCGCTGAACGACGCCTCTCTCTGGCTCAGGCTCTGCCGCAGGCCTTGCAGGACATGGTCGACCTCAACGAGCTCCGCGTCCTCAACAGCCGCCTCCACGTTCTTCCGCGTTTCGTGGCGAACTTCAAAAGGCTACAAACCCTGGACCTGTCCAAAAACTGCCTCCAGGAGCTTCCCAAAGAAATAGGTGAACATTTCGCATTACCTGAACGACGTAGGGTTTCAGTTGTGCCTTGTTTTTGTGCCTTAAACACAAGTCGTGTTATGACCGTGTGAAGAATATGCCGTCATTCTCACAGTCAAAATTATCTTCACTGGCGATTGTCGGATTAGTCCCGCAACACTCGGCGGACACGTGGAGGCAGTCGGGCATAACTTGTAGGTCAGCCGACCCACATCGGCAGTGGCCTGCGGCTCACCAACTGTAACACAGCTTTCTCTTGCTGTGCCATTCGTGCGTTGAGTGATATTCTGATATCGTCTGTGTTGCAACGACCCCGAAGCTGATAATCGGCTTGGAGGGCAAGAGCAGTGAACCCGGCTGCATCATAACTCAGGGAAGGGTGTATGTCGTGGTGTATCGGATCTCGACACGTGCCTGCATGTTTACGCCATGAGGCCGGGGAAGTCAGCTGAGGATGGAAATAGATTTGTGTCTATCACTGAAATAGACATCGAATGCTGCAAAGAGATTACGCTTGAGTAATTTACTCTTTGGTAAGAGAGTACTCTTTAATAAGCGATCACTATTTAAGAGATTACTGTTTAGTAATAGATCACTCAAGAGTAATCTGTCACTAAATAGTAATCTCTTAAAGAATGATCTCTTACTAAAGAGTAATCTCCTTACTCAAAAGTAATGTCTACTGTCTTGAGTAAAGAGATTACTATTTTAAGAAGAGATGACTCTTTAGTCAACCACGCTAGACCCGATCCTGGGAACGCGTCTCCAGCGAGTCTCCCTCCAGCTCGCCACCAACCGCCACCATCAGCTGTGCGCATCTCTGCTCGTCAAGCCTCACGTTCATAGGGCATAGTCCAGCATTGTTACATTTCATAGTTTTTGCTGACGTGTCAAGCTTTGGTTCTTAACTCGTACAGTCCTTTGTCGTCCCGCTGCTGGCTAGAGACCTCCTTCCCACGCCGTGACGGTCATGGCAGTCAGTCCCCGTGACCATGCTTCGGGCTGCTGGTGGGGTGACGGGCTGTGGCAGAGGGCTTAGTGTCCTCGCCTCCGCACGCGTCTCGGTGCCAAGGCAGGAGGAGCCTCCTCCACAAAGCTGAGTCTTGCGACTCAAGTGAGGCTCTCCTCGGTCAAATAATCGGCAAAAGTAAAAAAAAAATTCAATGATTATTCCCAGCAATACGCTTTGTGTATGGCGTCAATAAGTGTGGTTTCGCAAGAGGAGGAGAAGTCGTCTCCACTCGTAGCAGCGTGGCCAGCCGGAGAGACCCAACACAGGAGAGAGGCGCCCATCACCAGCTGCGCGGCAGAGACCTCGGGCGGCGCCAACAGCGCGGCCGTGCCTCGCTCACGAGGAGAGAGCCAGCCAGGCCTGATCCTCGTTCTATCACTGGGCTATTGGCAGCGGTAGTGATAGTGTGGTTACTGGGCTATTGGTAGCGGTGAGTGTGGTGGTTACTGGGCTATTGGTAGCGGTGAGTGTGGTGGTTACTGGGCTATTGGTAGCGGTGAGTGTGGTGGTTACTGGGCTATTGGTAGCGGTGAGTGTGGTGGTTACTGGGCTATTGGTAGCGGTGAGTGTGGTGGTTACTGGGCTATTGGTAGCGGTGAGTGTGGTGGTTACTGGGCTATTGGTAGCGGTGAGTGTGGTGGTTACTGGGCTATTGGCAGCGGTGAGTGTGGTGGTTACTGGGCTATTGGTAGCGGTGAGTGTGGTGGTTACTGGGCTATTGGCAGCGGTGAGTGTGGTGGTTACTGGGCTATTGGTAGCGGTGAGTGTGGTGGTTACTGGGCTATTGGTAGCGGTGAGTGTGGTGGTTACTGGGCTATTGGTAGCGGTGAGTGTGGTGGTTACTGGGCTATTGGTAGCGGTGAGTGTGGTGGTTACTGGGCTATTGGTAGCGGTGAGTGTGGTGGTTACTGGGCTATTGGTAGCGGTGAGTGTGGTGGTTACTGGGCTATTGGTAGCGGTGAGTGTGGTGGTTACTGGGCTATTGGTAGCGGTGAGTGTGGTGGTTACTGGGCTATTGGTAGCGGTGAGTGTGGTGGTTACTGGGCTATTGGTAGCGGTGAGTGTGGTGGTTACTGGGCTATTGGTAGCGGTGAGTGTGGTGGTTACTGGGCTATTGGTAGCGGTGAGTGTGGTGGTTACTGGGCTATTGGTAGCGGTGAGTGTGGTGGTTACTGGGCTATTGGTAGCGGTGAGTGTGGTGGTTACTGGGCTATTGGTAGCGGTGAGTGTGGTGGTTACTGGGCTATTGGTAGCGGTGAGTGTGGTGGTTACTGGGCTATTGGTAGCGGTGAGTGTGGTGGTTACTGGGCTATTGGTAGCGGTGAGTGTGGTGGTTACTGGGCTATTGGTAGCGGTGAGTGTGGTGGTTACTGGGCTATTGGTAGCGGTGAGTGTGGTGGTTACTGGGCTATTGGTAGCGGTGAGTGTGGTGGTTACTGGGCTATTGGTAGCGGTGAGTGTGGTGGTTACTGGGCTATTGGTAGCGGTGAGTGTGGTGGTTACTGGGCTATTGGTAGCGGTGAGTGTGGTGGTTACTGGGCTATTGGTAGCGGTGAGTGTGGTGGTTACTGGGCTATTGGTAGCGGTGAGTGTGGTGGTTACTGGGCTATTGGTAGCGGTGAGTGTGGTGGTTACTGGGCTATTGGTAGCGGTGAGTGTGGTGGTTACTGGGCTATTGGTAGCGGTGAGTGTGGTGGTTACTGGGCTATTGGTAGCGGTGAGTGTGGTGGTTACTGGGCTATTGGTAGCGGTAGTGATAGTGTGGTTACTGGGCTATTGGTAGCGGTAGTGATAGTGTGGTTACTGGGCTATTGGTAGCGGTAGTGATAGTGTGGTTACTGGGCTATTGGTAGCGGTAGTGATAGTGTGGTTACTGGGCTATTGGTAGCGGTAGTGATAGTGTGGTTACTGGGCTATTGGTAGCGGTAGTGATAGTGTGGTTACTGGGCTATTGGTAGCGGTAGTGATAGTGTGGTTACTGGGCTATTGGTAGCGGTGAGTGTGGTGGTTACTGGGCTATTGGTAGCGGTGAGTGTGGTGGTTACTGGGCTATTGGTAGCGGTGAGTGTGGTGGTTACTGGGCTATTGGTAGCGGTGAGTGTGGTGGTTACTGGGCTACGAATCCGTTGACTGAAGTTCGATACCCGCTCACGGCCAACACCGGTGACGAGTATCTGAACCGGTCCTGCGTCGCCCCTAGATCAACTTGGCCTCAAAAGAGTACCTGATGTAATGTGTAAACATCGCCACGATGGAGATATAAGCGGCCTGCTGTGGTGCTGGCCACCCATCCCCTCGTGTGCTGTTCTGACCTGAATAGCACTTGCCTCAGCAGTATGTAATAGTCTATACGAGGTGGGGGGGGGGGGGTCTTTGTGATTCGACCACACATGGAGGGGAACGACATCACTTGTGTGACGAGTCACGAGGAAGAACTGCTGCTTCAGGGTGTGGCCGCCCCTGCAGCATCTGACTCACATCAACTCGACGGGCTTCTCCTCGGGGACCTCGTGCCGAGCCTCCTGGAGTCTCTCTGGGGCACGAGTCGTCGTGCCTGCGTCGTTATCTCTCTGTGGCTCCTGGTCATCCACAACTCGCCAGATTCCATATTCCCCTGAAACTGTTGAAAGGCTTCCCTGATTAAGACTTCACCGTCATCTGGCTTCTCTACCCAGGGAATGGAAAGTTTTCACATCAGGAAATATTTATAACTTACTCATGATGACGTTGCTTCGGATACTAATCTAAACCAAATAGTGTGAAAACATACCCTAGATATGTTTTATGAAGCTCTTAATTAGTTATATTGTATTAATGTTTAATGTTTCCCGTATATTTAATCATTCAAAGCATTATTAATAGCAACATGTGCAGAGATCACTCACCACTGACACAATCTGTGGCCTGGATTCAAACTCCAATGCTGAAAAAATACCTCAATTGGGAAAACATCATCGCTCACTACTGAGAAATTGGCAGGACTCTCTTGAAAACTAATCTCGAGACTCGAGAGAAGCTTTGCTGAGTGAACGAGCTCTATAATAATAGTAATCTCGTCGCGGCGCCTGCACGCACGACGTGGCCCGCAGGCCTCCTGACAGGGCTGCAGCAGCTGCTGCTGAGCTACAACCAGCTGCGCCGCGTGCCCGCGGAGCTGGGCGACTGCGAGAGCCTGCAGAGGCTCGACCTCTCCTCCAACAACTCCCTGCACGAGCTGCCCTACCAGGTGCCCACGCGCCCCGCGTCACAAACATGCGCCTTCCCAGACACTGCGTTGGTCGGGGGCTTTGATTTGGCGATTCGATGCCGTGTGATTTGCAGTGGCTAAATGACACCGGCGATGAACCGCCCACATCCAGTGCAAGGATTGCACACCCTGTACAGTTCACTAAACCGACAATTCCACACACCTCGCTGCCTGCGAATCTGAACCGTCTGTTCTTCCTGTGGCCCCAGCTGAGCTCTCTGAAGAAGCTGGTGCTGCTCGATCTGTCGGTGAACAAGTTTTCGTCCGTGCCGATCGCCGTGTTACGCATGAGTGGCCTCCAGTGGCTGGACATGAGCAAGAACCAGCTGCATGAACTGCCCCAGGACATTGACAGGTCAGGCCACGGTGGAAGTCGCATGTTCTTGCTGTGATAGAATGATTCACATTGGTACCATATTGTATATCACATTTCACGATGTGATGATTACCGTGATGTCGGTTTCCCATAACTTTGCATTTCACATTTGTATGCATTGTTCATGTGCTTTCCTGTACTTCCAATACAAATAAAGATCGTTCAAGAGTTTAACTGCAGTTCCCTCGACATAATCCTGTCATAGGCCTTCTGAATCACATTACCATCTACACCGCTATTATAATGGTCATGATCTCAGTAACACTAATTGTAAAAATGATAAATCAATGTCATCAAATAATTGCCATGCCATTTTACTAGCCTAGATAACATTTGACAAAGCACCGTATTCATGGAAAATATATTTATTTACAACGGAAATCACTGCCGTTTAAAGGTGTTTTAAAATAATTAAATGAAAGACGAAAATGGTGATGTGATATATTTCTTTACATAATCGACGATCGCCGATGATAGTCTGTCTGAGCGTGGATCTCGTGCGGAATATGGCAGCAAACACAACCGGGCGATCGTAGACGGGACCAGCCCCGCACCGTGGACATCACTAGGCGACGTTGAAGACCACTCGTGCCCCAGAACGCAAGTTGGCTCCGACAAATAACTTTATAAAACGTCCGCAGTGCAGCGAGGTTACAGCAATAATAAATAGAGGTGGATGTCGACACCCAAGGGGGTTGTGGTTTTAAAACGTGAAGGTTCTCAAAGAGGGCCCTACATTAATAATAATGAAGACAATGTATTTTATGACATCAATAAAATGTTGAATTTAAGGCTCTCAAGGGGGTGTTGGAGTGGGATCTATTGCGTAAGGTGATGCACCAAACGTGGGAGCGAGCGAGCGCTCACGTGGTTTTCAGCCTCGCGAGACGACACCAGGCTGGTGGCACTGCTGTGGGTGGTGGAGTGGCACGGAGTGGCACCGCTGTCCCTTGCCCGCAGGCTCGAGCGAGTGGAGACCATGCTGCTGCATCACAACAGCATCCGCTACCTGCCCCTGGCGCTCGGCGACATGGGTGAGCTGCGCACGCTCGTGGTGAGCGCCGACCATCTGGTGCAGGTGCCCACGCTGCTCTACAAGCTGCCCCACCTCAAGTGAGCGAGCGGTGTCCAGCCAGGGGGCTTCACCAGCACCACCATCTCGTGAACACCACACACACAAAAGCTGAACTCCGTCATCGCCTGGTCATCACATTTACGTTTAAACTTGGATATGTGCCTGGCACGCGATTGATTTAAGCTTAATTCTTCACGTTTTTATCCAGACCCTTCCAGAGTGTGTCAATAGTTTTGTTCATAACATCACGGTGGTTGTCAGCTTGTACCTTCCCACTGCTGGACAAAGGCCTCCCCAATTCCCTTCCCTGCCCTCCCCATCACCGCTCCCATCCAGCAGTGGCCTCCACTCTGTGGCGCCGTCTCTCGCCTCTCTCCCGCCGTGTCTCAATCTCCACTCCAGTGAATTTTACGGACAGATAACGTCGCCTCTTTCAGCCAAATACACGCGGCGCGTCGAGTTGTGTGCGTGACGTGGCGCCTGGGACCCATGTGGCCAGGATCCTGGACATGCGAGAGAACCGGCTGCAGGAGATGAGCACCGCGGGGCGGACGTCCCCCCCACCGCCCAACAGGCGGCTGCAGGCCGTCGACGCGGAGCAAGAGGACATGGGGAAGGAGTTCATGACGTCGTACTTCCAGGACCTGCAGAAGAGAGGTACGTGTCCTGGGCCCGCACGTTGCCTTGGTTACGGCAAAACGACGCAGCGTGCTGCACCACAACTTGGATTTACATTTCTTTACCCGTGTTATGCAATACATCTCCACATATCTGTACCTCCGTTTCAAAAATGTGTTTTACACAACGCATCAGCCACCCAGCATTCTGGGAGGGCATAATTCTAGCAGGATTAGATTCAACTCAAGCAAACTCAGGATCGGTTTTGAGTCTCATCAGCAGTCAGCCTCGCTCAAACTGTGGAATGTTCGTAGGCAAGGACCCTTTCTATAAGATTTGGGCTCTAGTTCAATCAGAAACCAATAAAACAACCACGTCCTTGTGTTTCTTAAATGCACCACCAGGCCATGTGGTCGTGTAAACAATACTTTTATTTTTTGTGGAAGGGCAGATGCAAATTATTAGCTTGTTATGTTGGCCAATGTAACATAGTTAATGACAGTCATTGAATGCGTATTTAATACTCGATGTCCACAGTAAGCTTATGCTGTGCATTGTGGGAACTGTAAAGGGGATACTCCCACTTCTTCCAAGGCATCTTGCCAGCATGGAAGAGTAGGCCAAACACCCTCGAGTAGAGGCCCGTCTGCCAAGTGGTGAGTGATGGAGGCCAATTGCATTCTTGGTGTTGGAACTTCCCCTTTAGCACTGCCACCTGAATCATGTCCGCAGCACCAACGTAACGCAGATGTATGTAGTAGTAATTATGCTGAAGCCAAGTGGTGATGAGGCAGTGTTGTCCTAGAAGTGTTCATTAACTTTGGCATTAACTTTGACATTTCTCTCCGTTGTGGCTTTTAGAGACGGGCCCAGAGTACACCACCGTGGTCTCCCTGAGTCTGCAGCTCGGCTAACGTCGTCGTCAGCAGCGGCCCAGCGGCTGCGTCACACCTTCAGTATCGCGTTCAGCCCCAAGTGCCTCCGCCCTTTCCCTGGGATCGCACCATTCCATTGATGGGCGCACTCAATCCGACTGCTTACACCACAACATGGACAATGAAAGTATTCCCGTTTTCTTGTGCCACCTTCACGGAATAAAAGCTCATTGATTTTGTGAAGGCAAAGCTGCTGAGAATGAAGTAGAGGGGTAATGATCCGTTGCTTCACAAGCATGCGTCAAACAGCACTTTTAAGTAGCAATTTGTTTTATTCCATGTTGTATGTGATGGGTTTGTACAAACCCTGCAGCAAACACTGGTCATTACATTCACCACAATGTAAAAATGTACAAAACATTATTTTGATCTTTCGGGAAAGTCACAGATAGGTTGACTGAATAACAAATTACATTTCGATCACAACACAAGCGACCGTTATCAGGAGAAAAAAGTCGTAGTTTTGTTATTTTCTTTCAACCTATGTACACGACTTTACCAAAAGACCCAAAGAATATGAATTCCTGCAGTCACGATGTACAATACATGTTGACTTGTGACTGAAGCACAACGCATTGCAGATTCACTAATTCAAGTGGAAGATTCCCTGGCTGCGCTCTGCCGAGCCCAAGGAAGTACTTTCTAGATTAACATCGACTAATGGTGGCCGAGACGAATCATGAATCTCCTGCACGAGGAGACTTGGCTTCTTGACGCCACACCAGATGCTGGTGTTTGAGCCAGAACAAGGCCACAGTTGCAGACACTTTACCTCGACTTCAAATGTGTTTCTATAGGTGACAAGGCGCTGCTTTCACAAGTAGTAGTAGTAATGTAGTGTAACATCAGCTACGCTGGTGTCAACATGGTGAGTGTTTGGTCTAACACAACATATCCCGCTCGCTAGTGTGTGAAAATGTAGACACCATGTGACTTTTGCAGTAAAACACCGGTTTCATTTGACTGTAGAACTGTAAAGGATACCTTTTGCATTGTATGCTGTATGAACAACACGGCGTTCACAAGTGAAAATGTTAAATAAAACAGTTTTTATACTTATGGAAGCATGCTTGGTGAATGTTCCTTGCCAGCTGTGGGTAAATATGCAGATGTTGCCAACTCCAAGAAAGGGACATCCAGGCTGAGGGGTGATGGCTTTTGAGCATTATATAATCACATCCATAATAAATCCATTTAAAAGTCTATTGTTGGGCTCCCATGCGTATCTCCATGTCTAATAATAGAGGCAGCAAAGCCAGGCTAAGGATAAACAAACAAAATCAAAGGTCACATACGAGTTTGCTCAACAGCTGGAGACTGATCTGGGAAGAAAACCAATCTCTTACCCAGCCATTTCTGCTCTTCCTCCATCCTCTGCCTTCATGAACATTTCTATTAATCTTTTTCATGGATGGCTCCTTAAGGCTTTTCTATTTACATCGCCATTTAATTCACCTTTCGAGGTAGCCAACACATCCATTCTCTTCACGTGTCCATAACATTTGAAAATTGTCTAACAGCACTGTACACTCAGGCTCTTCTTCGTTTTCCCTACAGTTGAAATCAACATACGTACATATACATACTTCTGGGCACGGTGGCGATTCCATGGTAGATGAGGATGTCTTCCTACTGATGCCGCCCAAGACACGTTCTCTTGGCGCCCTAGACGCCAAGCATCAGCTCGGCACACGCTTGGCGCAAGCCTCTCCAGACGGCGCGGCCCGGTGGCTTCAGGAGGCAGAGCGGGCAGTGAGGAGCACGTTTTCCACGGTGGTGGCGGCCTCCACGTAGCGCTGCAGCCGGGCTGCGAGGCCCCACTCGCGCAGGTAGCGCACTCGGCCCTCGTCCAGCAGCCGCTTGCACAGCCGGCCCAGCTGCTCCCGCTCCGCTCGGCTCCGGCCGTCGCTAAACACACGGCGACGCAGCACACGCTCTTAGGTGTCCCCTTCCCCACACGCTCCGATTCGCACGGTTGGCTACGTAAGGTACAATCGCAGTTTTACATACACAAATGTGCGTCTCGACTCACACAGTCGCTCCCTTGAAAGGAGTTGCCTGGCCAATGTATTTCAGTATGGAGGTAAAGGTGGGGCCCTGCCATAGCTCGCTCAAGCCACTGCTGTCAGAAGGGCCTACATGAGGGGGAACTATGGAGGGTACTTGGTCTACTCTTCTACGTTGACCAGACGTCTTGTGAGAGGTGGGCGTACCCAAGTTTTACCCCGCTCCATGCGACTTGCGGATCGAAGCTGGTGACGCCATGTCTACTGCTGGATGGATAGAGGCGAGTTAACACACCCAGCTCGTCGCTGTTGTGCTATGCGTGGAGCAAAACGTCGGACATGCCTCAAACAGCACAGCCGTCAAAACCTCGGCACAAACACACGGCGACTTATCAACATTTGCACATCATTTCTATGAAACTGACGCCTCCAGCAAGGCAATAAAGTGACTGACGCAGCACACGTATTGCGTGTGCCGAGCGACAAGAGGCCGGGGAGCATGAGCCACTCTGCTATGACTCTGACCGACATTCATCATCGACTTGCATAACTTGTTATTTTCACTGCACCCAATGTTGGTGCCAAACCCACGACGAGAGATGATGCGCAGCACTTCGGTCCGGTAAAAGCCGCATCTCATTTTCAATTCAGCCAATTTCTCGTAATTTCCCATGTGCCCCTTGAAAGAAAAACTCGTGGTCCCATCGGAGCTCTCTAACCTGATTATTACGACGGATGTCTGTATGTCTGGTATCTTCCACAGCGCAACAGAAAATAATCTAATTTTAAACTGCGTGCAACTCCAACTCATCCTGGCGTGCAGTCGGTGAAAATATCATTTGGATTTGTTATACACCAGTAAGTCTGTTGGCAAGCTACGGATGGCGGGGTAAAGTGTGGGTACACCCACTTCTTCCAACACGTTATATTATAGTTTTTTTCTTCCACACCACATCCCATTACATGTTTTGCATTCGCTCTCAAGAGAAAGGGAGTACAACTCAGAGGCGCGAGAAGAAGACGACCGGGAAGGGCAATAAGCCACGTGGTGAGCCCGTGCCAAAGTCCACCTCCAAGCTCTGCGATCCCCTATATGAAGGAATTATATCTGCCAATTAATGGGAGGAAACTGAAGCACCCAGAGAAAAGCCCTCGTTTACTCCAGAGCTGGACTACAGGCACCCAGAGCCACCAGCACCCAGCTAATAACTCGCAACTTAAATGAAAAAACTACAATGCAACACCGCCCCTTACTGTTAGGCTTTGTTCATTTGCAGCCAGTGCAGTGTCGTTCACCTCTTGTGCCGCATAAAGACAGCTACCACTGTGGGTCCCCATGTCTAGACTGTAGTAGGGCACTGGAATGGTTGGGATGTGATGCAAGGTGATTGGAGTTGCCAAGGCATTAAGATGCCTGAATAATGCAAAACCTGAGCCTAGAATCACCTGATTTGATCTTCTGCCTGACAAGGTGCAGCATGATCCATGGCCTCCATCTCCTCCTCCGCATGCCACTCCACTCCGTCTTGTCTGCTCGCGCTCCCTTCTCTTGTGGCATTTTCATTTCCACGTCCGTTGTCCGGCACTTGGTCCGTCGAGTCCGTCGGTCTCCTCCAGCCACAGGTCGCCCAGCTGGACATCCTTTGGATGAGGTCAAACTCCTTTGGGCCCAGGCCCTGCTCAAAGACAGCAACGTACACACTGGAGCATTACCGACGTCTGTGTGGAAGCACCAACGCAATGCTCGCGAATACAATTCACAGTTAACCGCTTAAACAACACTGGAACACATTAATCTGGGAATTCCATACATAGGCTGCTGCACAAAATTACTTCCTGTCTGTTCTTAAAATTTCAAAACGAACTTTGTTTTTATTATAATCTTTGCTTCCCATCTTTCACCAAGGAAGTATTTTTCTTCTATTTGAAGTTTCATGAAAAGGAGTTTATTCCAACCCAGGGACAACTAGCGCAGCACCAAGTCCCAGGGCAGCCCCCTTCATCAGTCCCAGGGGACAAGCCCTTGTGGCAGGAGAGGCCCGGTGGAGGCAGTGCGGAGCGAGGAGGTCTGGAAAAGGGCAGGAGGCAGCATGGGATGGCAGATGGGACGAGCAGAGAGCGTTCATGTGCTCAGGGGATGAGCAGGGAGAGAGTTTGTGCGCTCAGGCTGTTGTCCCACTCCGACGCAGCGTCGCCCACGGCAGGGCGGGCTGCTTTAAAATGGGACGTTTGCTCTGGCTGTGACCTATGACCCCGAGCCACCCACGTGTAACGAGGGGCCGGGCTAATCAAGTTTGGTCCAGCCAACATAGATATGCTTCAGACAGATTCAATTCACTGAAATACCTGTGGGCCTAACTCATTGGTTCACCAACACCTCATGGATACCGTACAGGAAGGCTCCTATTTTCTACAGTGGGACGTATGCCTTTTGAACTTCTTTCACACCGTACATAGCCCACCGTGCTAACTGGAGGTGCGGGATCATAAAACAGGGTCGATCAGGTGGCCACTTTCCTTTTCGCCAGTTCTAATTATGCAGGGATCTACGACACGTTTTAGAATGCCACCCCTGTAACTGCACTGGTGGTCTCCAACCCAAGCCATTCACAACCGTGCGTAGCTTCCGAGAACTGAAGAAATCTGGTGCTTTCGGGGTCATTTTGTCACAGGCCAAATTGTGTTGAACTACTGCAGGAATTGCCAACTAAAAGGCCATTCTAAAGTACCTGTAAATATTAACATCAGCATGAGACACGTAGTATAATGGGTGAAAGATCAGGTTACATTTGTGATTAAAACAGCACTGCAGAAAAGGCAAAACATTCTCCATTCCCTTCACGTGGTATTCTTGTAAATACAAAACCCATCGGTAAGAAAATAAATAAGCAGACACTAACACCTCCTTGATGTACATCTGTCCACGTAAAAAAAAGTGTTTTTTACACATACCATCAGCCTCGTGGCCTTACGGAAATGTACAATTTCAGCAGCATTTGTTCATCACAAGCAAACTCGGGATCCATTCGGACCACCTCAAAGCGTCCAGTCATCACCTGAGAGCAAAAATACTTCTTCCCGACGTAGGCCGGCCAGCTGCAGCGGTGGTGGCAGCACAGCGCGATGGCGATGCCCAGTGCGGGGGGGCCCACATCGGTCTCGCAGGGGGCCGCCTCCTCCCCACACGCGGAGAGCCCTGGCGCGGAGGAGAGCCCTGGCGCGGAGGAGAGCCCTGGCGCGGAGGAGAGCCCTGGCGCGGAGGAGAGCCTTGGCGCGGAGAACAGCCCTGGCGCGGAGGAGAGCCCTGGCGCGGAGGAGAGCCCTGGAGCGGAGGAGAGCCCTGGCGCGGAGGAGAGCCCTGGCGCGGAGGAGAGCCCTGGAGCGGAGGAGAGCCCTGGCGCGGAGGAGAGCCCTGGCGCTGCACTCCGGGTGCCGTGCCGCGGTAGCGTCTCCACAAGGCAGCGCAGGGCCAGGTCTGGGGCACGCAGTCGGCGACACGGTGGACATGGGGGGGAAGATGATTGCATGATTGCTCTGCGTTGGTCAATTAAGAAATGTGCCGTATCATTTGCGGTGTGACCATCGCCGTGCTGAGTTTCTTCATTTTCTGAAGCTCGCAGAGGACGTGCAGCGAAACATCGGACATCACGGCGTATAACGCGCACTACAACTCGTCGGAGAGATCTCTCGAGCGCTCGGGCTGTGGTCCCACTCCGACGCAGCGTCGCCCACGGCAGGGCGGGCTGCTTTAAAATGGGACGTTTGCTCTGGCTGTGACCTGTGACCCCGAGTCGCCCCCATTGAACGAGGAGCCGGGCTGATTAAGTTTGGTCCAGCCAAAATAAGTCGCTCCACAGACAGATCCAATGGACCGATTCACCTGTGGACTGTACTTATTGGTTCACCGCCATCTCCTGGCCCACCGCCCAGTAGCTGACTGGCAGCGGGGTGGCGAGTGCATGCTGGGTTGGATGTAATCGCTTTACTGAAATAGGCATAGAGAGAGCGACGACACCCGACTTGCATCTGAACGCATACTGTTCCTACATAAGTACATTAGGGTTACAAATTGCATTCGCTCGATGTGAAAACGTACAGATCCCTGTGAATAATGTGAATCACGTAGCGTGGTATTAGCCGCCGTGTCGGCTCAATATACTGGGAGGTATAAGCGAGACACCGGCTAATTAGAACCGCAGGAGTGAGAGCCATGGGCATTGTGCATGCTCAAGCATCACGCGAATCGGAAATAAACCCGATTTATCACTTTCACCCATTACAGTGTAGCGAACACATTTGTGTCATGCTTTGACATATTTACTTTCGTCTGCAGTTATTACATTAATAAATGCATTAAGAAGCATTAAGTGTCCCCTGAAGATGAAGCGCAGGCGCCATTCGGCATTTATTTTAATGACAGCATGAAAACGCGACAAACCCGTCACGTTTCAGCGAGAAATATTTTCAATTGGGCTGGAGAAACAAAGATTATAATCGGAGTACATATTCAAAATCTCGGATGTGCCAACGGCAGTCATTTGAACCAAGTGAACGTAAACACGAGAAATCGGCACAAATCTTCTCAAAGGAGGCTGTGACATTGAGACCGAGAACATCTGCGAGTCAAACAAGTCATGGAGGATGTTGGCCAGACGCATGAAGGCATCGCAGGGATGGGGTCATGGGGGTTGTTTGACCGGACTTCGCTGCGGTGGTCGATGCTGGTTGTTATGGCGGGCAGCGTAGATGTGGGGTATAGAAGTGCAATACAAATGTGGCTCTTGCTGTACTACCCTCTGCTGACCACCACATAGCCACGCAGAAGAGGTGTTCTAGGCAGGGTGATCGCCTGTCCAAGCCCTGCTTAGCTTGCGAGCACCGATGAGATTTGGAGCATTCCAGATAAATTGGTCACAGGTGTAGTACTCTGAATAGAGAACTGAAAATTGCTGAGAAAATAATTCCCATGCTCACAATTACTCAGGACCATAGCTTATGGCCGCAATTTCTATACCCCTGAGCCACGGGTCTGGACTTAACACGTTGGGGAAGTGCAGCGAGAGGTAAACACAGGCTCGGAGGCAATCAATGTGCAGAATGGATGCGACAACGCATCCATTGCACAGGTTCAGGGCCCAGGGGCAGCCCTGATTAATACTGCGGGTGCATGAACCATTAATATATGCCATCTGCTTCACAGTAGGCATTATAGTCCCCCTGGCATTATTCTAAAAAGAGTAGGGCGTGTGTGCTGGGGTCAAGGTCCAGGTTTGCCAATTATCCACAAATTAATTAATTGGATAACCACGTGGCAACCTCGCCCCCTCCTCATGGAAGACTGCGCTTGTCTGTGAGACATGACACCTTGGTGTTGGCCTTGCTCTACAAGCACGGCACAAATCCCGGCCGTGTTACCGACGGGGTGTGCCGCAGTGCGGACTGCAGTGCCCCGCTGGAGACAAGCGGCACTCTCGGGTCACTCGCGCACACCCACCTGTTGCCGCTCCACACAGATGCTTCCCGATGGCCACCACGGACGTCCCCTTATCCTGGAGCTGTGGCACCTTCCCTGCGCACATCAAGTTCACGGTCAGCGTGTGGTGGGATACAGTGTGGGTAATCCCACCCATTCCATAGAGGGGCTCGCTAGAGCTCCCTCTAGTGGAGGCCCTTACCATATTTTTCTTTGCCCAGTTAGAAAAAAAATGCTCACAAGTGAAGGTGCTGACATAACAAGTAGAACTACTTAGGCTGGTAACCATTAACTTTCTCAACTTCAATGTATTGTGATCATTTGTGATCATTTGTGATCACAATTCAACAAACTACTGAATATATTTTTTTCTGTATTAATTATAGCAGCTGTAGTAACTGTAGGCATTTGAAACAATTGGAGACAACACACAAATGTAAATTAACGGATTCTTAAACACACAACCTGATAGGTGTATCTTGAGAGTAAGAATATATTTTAACCCATTAATCAATGCATCGCTCCATGCAGACTCAAACATATAAAACAGTACGTCGCATATCCAACCACCACGTATCTCCCTGACCAATTAATCGCCCACAGAGCAGTATTTGTACGTCGTATAACGATCACTCGAGAGACGTTCATAGAGGAGACGTTTTCACATGTCCGCTGACACCTCAGTCCCCAGCGAGTTGGATGTGTGACGATGTACTGTATATGTCCGTGTGTGGCCTAAATGTAGTCCATCTGAAAGCAATCCTTTCGGTCACCTGAAGAGACTGGCTCTATTACCAAGGTGGAGGTGCTGAATGTCTATCAGCAGGCGACGGAAATCCACGTCCCCTTCCTGATGCTTCCCGTCCACCTGCAAAGCAGCCGTTGTACGTGTTTCAGTGACTTGAATAAAATAAGTACAGACAAACCAAACAATGAAATTAGTTAATCAATTTCGTTTGTCTCTTTTAAATGGGGAAACATTTATAGGAATAAAGAGTAACCGACTGTTTTCACGATTTTGCCAAAAAGCTCTCAGGTTTGCACATGCAGCGAAACGTCGGACACCATGTCGGAGATGTCTCTCGAACTCTCGGGCTGTGGTCCCACTCCGACGCAGCGTCACCCACGGCAGGGCGGGCTGCTTTAAAATGGGACGTTTGCTCTGGCTGTGACCTATGACCCCAAGCCACATCCATTGAACGAGGGGCCGGGCTGATTAAGTTTGGTCCAGCCATAAAAAATCTCTCCAGACAGATCCAACACACCGAATCACCTGTGGACTGCACTCATTGCTTCACCACCATCTCCTGGGCAGCGCTCAGTATCCAAATGGCCGTGTGATCGCGTATTGGCAAGTGCACGTCTGCTAAGATTGTCTTCACTGTTGCATAATCTCACATTTGTTGTTTGAGCTGAAGCAGCTCCCAGCGCATGGGAGAAAAATGTCAGACTTCTTTCAATGACCAAAAACACGCACGACCTGAGCGGGCAGTAGTTGCCACTGTGTGGTCCATGTCTGGATCGTGGGGATGGCAGTCTCACCGGTGAAACCCAGGGGCACGCCGACGCCTTGGACGCGGCACCCGTGTCGATTCGCGCTCTTGCGCTACTCGTCACCACAGATGTTGTAAAAAGGACTCCTGATTCCTCGGTGCGATCAGCGACTTGGCACTCTGGTTTCTTCCCGCATGTATCAACACTCATTAAGGAATTGGCCAAACATCCAATGAAAGGGCCACAGCGTTTTGGAAATAGTTGGCGCCGGTTCTGGCTGCCTTAACGCTTGTCTGTGGTTTCCCACGCTTTAAAACCAAACAAATTAAACTGTGCTAAATGTTTATTTTTGACGTTGCTTGCATCGGCGCCGCACCTTGAAGCGCGTGCTGCACCTCTCCACGAGCAGGAAGGAGATGCCGCGCGTGGCGCTCGGCAGGGCGCGCCGCACCCAGTGGGACAGCTTCCCCCGCCCGGCGCCAAACTCCACGTAGCAGCGGTCGGCTCCCAGCAGGCCCAGGCTCGACAGGTGGCCCACTATGGATGCCTAGTGAGGAATAACACACAGACAGGAGACAGAGAGATCCCACGTGGAGCCCACACAGGCCGTTGGGAGTGGATGCTGTTAGCAAGCAGCACCTGTGAAGGCTGACAGGGAGCACGAGGGGTCAAAACCACATCTGGCTACGGTCACCCCGGTGCTGATGATCCCATCAGGCACTCGTGGAAGCCGAGTCGACCTCGGGGAGGGGCCCTGTGCAAGTACTGAGAATCACCACCGATGTTCGCCGTAGGCGGGTTTCAAACTCAGGCTGTTGATATCGTCGCAGTGCAATGGGTTTGCCGCTATGTTTACAGCTCCGTACACTACGCCACGGAAAATAAACACGCACAAACACAAAACTCAAACGTATTTTGTATATGAACTTAGAGGTGTGTTTGCCCGTTTTGAACGTCATCAGCATCCTATAGCAGAGTTGTGGCACAATACATACCGAGGCGTGTGTACTAAGTTTTCAGACGACTATTAAAACAAAAAAGAATGACCCTTTCATATTTTACTCCACTTAAAGAAAAACATGTAACTTGCTGACCCACCCATAGCTCATCGGATTCCTCCTGCAGTCTAAATAAAGATTCCAGTACCGATTCCTTCAAGTGTCATCTTCTGGAGCTGGTCTCTGCCAGGCGGGGTTTAGTTTCCTCCAGAGAAACGAGGCGATACTCAGCTGCAGGTAAATTTACTTTATTCTTTCGATTTAAAGCTTTCGTGACTGCAGGGATTCATCTTCTTGGTTCTTTCGGTAAAGTCATGTAGAAGGGAAGTAATAAAATAATAAAAAAAAAACATAATAAAATAATTCTCACGACGTTTCGGCTACAACGCAAGCAGCCGTCTTCAGGTGAAGAATGAGACACTGCCAAGCTAGGAGCTCCAACCCAGCTTATATATAAGCTCCTAGCTTGGTAGTGTCTCATTCTTCACCTGAAGACGGCTGCTTGCGTTGTAGCCGAAACGTCGTGAGAATTATTTTATTGTGTTTTATTTTTATTATTTTATTACTTCCCTTCTACGTGACTTTACCGAAAGAACCAAGAAGATGACACTATTCTCTCCAACGCAACAAGAGTACACATCTAAAGACACACCACTGTGCTCGCAAATAAAGCTACGCACTTATTTCCAGAACTAACAACCATTGCTACCATTTTATTTTTTTACTTTATTTTAAGAAAACTATTCGTGTCCCGAGGCTCAAATATGAAACATTACGCTTGGCACAAGAAATAATGAGATGTGCTTTTGCATGCGCCTCCATCAGAGGTCTAGGGGTTGAAGTGCCTGACAGTGCCGATTTCCCCGAGCGTGATCGTGCGCAGATTGCATCGTGAATATCAATGACATTGCTCAATCGCAATTCCCTACTTCCTATCAGGCTCTGATGGGGGAGTTCAGGCTCATCGAGCCAATATAAGACACAATTGAAGGGATAATTGTCCCACGCTGCAGGTAGGATTCGGAGGTCATCATCAACATCAGCAGCCATTGTCTCCTGGCTGATGGACAAAGACCAGCCACACCATTGCTATCCCTCAAGGTCCCGCAGTGCCACAACTCGTCTCGGTGCGACACGCACACCAGATCTCGCTGGCTCATCTACGCAGTGCTCATCCTCTCTGCTGAGTTCTCTCCATTGGCTGCCATTCTGTTTAAAGTCTCATCCATTACAATAATTCCTGATAGCGATTCCCAAGCACGCTCACTTTCCTCAATGGTGAAGATGACATCTCTAAAATACGCATGAGAATGTAAGACAAGGGGACACGCGTTCTCCAAAGTTAATTACAGCGACATGAGACTACAGTATATTTTCCCAAAGTTGGAGGGGAAAAAGGCATAAATATTAATGGCCACAACATTCACAATCTCTTACTTTCTGACAGCAGCCATTATAACGTCCAATGAGAATGAATCGCAGGGAACGCTAAAATAACTTTGCAACGGTGGCCCCACAGTTGGGCGCAGGACCGAGGAGAGGTGGATGCGTCGCCACGCCGCCCTGCACATCCATCGTCCGTTGCGCAATACTCGTCCTATGTCATGACGATGTCGTACGACACAAGAGATGGTGGTAGCAACGCTCTCCTCACCTGCTGCTGGAGATGTTTGAGGGCTGACTTTCCATTGCTGGGATCTGTCAGCTCCTGCTGCAGGGCTGGGTGGGACAGGACACGAAGCTCCAGCGCCGCCTCTGCGCCTGCCAGAGAGAGACGCGTCCCCTGCGTTACCCACATCCACTCTCGCGACGGCTGTCGCCACGTTTCATGGATTCAGAGTCTGTGGCACATTCTGGTCAAACACCCGGTAGGCTGCCACAGCACTTTTGTCAATTCCACTTTTGTCAACATTATTGTTAAGCAAGGAAGCCTATGGGGTATATTTTATTCATTTATGTAGCTGCTTGTTTACATAATTTTAGGCCATTTCGATTTAATTAAACATGTTATATTACCATACACTAAAGCTTTTATTATGAGTTAAGATTGATGGGAAGTGAAGTTTTTATTTAAAATCTAAAATATGTTTTAGATAAAATTATTTACAGTTTTTTGGAAAGTTAAGTGGTGAGCCTATGGGTAAAATTATTCCCCACCATAGTAATGTGGAATTTCCACCGCTGGGTCAAGGCTGTAAACAACAGATCATCAACGTCTTAATGCTCAATTGAGCAGGAAATCTGACTTTTTGACTTTTAATAAATTTGACATGTAACTGGATGACTTCTATTTAACTTTGTATGCATGTATTTACCATGGGGCTTATTGTATTAATCTTGTTGTCGTGGAGGTAAGTGGAGGAGAATTATCTCGGTTACCCACAGACCGTGCAGATTCCAGAACATTTTGATGAGATAAAAAAAATATCAAATCTAGAAATAAAAAAATGAAGTGATTACATCACGGTGAACGTGCTGTAGTGGTCCTCCCTGATCTAACGTGGGCATGTCACTGCGACCCTGTGAGAAAATGGACCCCACGGTTCCATTGCAGCAAGTGGTAGGACATCTCAGGGGGCTTTCACAGATATAAGGATAATGAACACCTTGTTTGAAATTGGTCACATCCAGTTTAAAAGGGCAAAGGTGCAGCCCTGAAATTACTTCCCACTGCCGGCAGGACATCTACTAAAGGATGTCTTGAAGTTGGTAGGAGTACCCACATTTTACTCCACCACACACAACCTACTGCGGTGTAATTATTTGCACCACTGGGTGAACAGAGGCAGGGGGGATTAAGGAAATGCTTGTAGTGGTTCATATGTACGGCGACCAAGGATTGCAAGTGTAGCGTGCGAATCATCACACCTCGGCTCGGATCCAGTCCATCAGACTTAACTTACAAAGAAAGTGATGCTTACCTTGAAATACACCTTGTACTTTGCTTATTAGCGCTGACATTTCTTCTGCTGACAGCGAGGATAACGCGACCTGCACCACAACACAGCAGCAACACGTCCTTACATACCACGTACTCAGTGGTACTCTGCTTCAATATACAAGGCTGAATAAAAAAAAAAAAGAGTCTAAAAGTGTTTATTTACTTTATAACATATTATAAAAAATAACTTCAATGTGGAAAAGTAAAAACCAAAATGGTAAAAACATATTACAAGTTAAAAGCCCTGAGAAGGTCAAACTTGACCCCACCAACCCCACAGCTCGTTAGTTGTGTGTCGAACACGAGTGGCGTTTAATCCAATAGAGATTCATACAATTATTTTCAAGACTAAATCCATGGCCACCAGTGTCACTTGCTGTCATTAATCTATACACTTGAGCCTTCAACTTGACAACACGTTGAGAAGTCATACCCACGTAATCTTATTTTATCCCATCACTGAGCCAATGGACAGATGGCCAGACAACACAATTAGTGCTTGTTTTGATTTATTTTTGGTCGTTGCTATATTTACAGTGGCTCCAGGGTCCGAGCACCGAGCCAGCACGCCAATACGTATGCACGTGTGTGCTCAACTTCTTTCACACGGTACGTAGCCAACCGTGCTAAATCGGAGGTGCGGATTGAATTAAATCTGGATATCCGCACATGGCAAGGCCAGGTTCTCCAGCCTAGTGAGATGATGGTCTCAGCCTGGTTATCAATAACTACACAAAAATAATATAATACATGAGATTTTATAATTTAATTTAGCTTATTTCAGCTCTCTAAATAAAACATTTAGGACTGATTGATATGTATGTTGAACTTTCTTTGCACCGTACATGGTAATCGAAGATACGGATCTTTGCGGGGCATACAAGAGGTGCATCTCAATAAAGTGACTTCAAGAGTAGCTCTGTGAAATATTGTATGGACATTTTCTCACAGGGTGGTGCACGGCTCTCCCCAAGAGCTCCGATTTGACGTATATGTCTTATGTCATGACGCCAATAACAAGTTAATTATATAACTGGGGAATATATTTAATAGCGTTCATCAAGGAGTCAACAATAATTAATGAATTCCAACAACTTACCTGTTCTTTTGAAGGCAGTTCATCGTTTTCTCCACAGTTGATATCTCGCACGTAGTAAGCCTGCAAGAAAACAAATTACTTAACCTTTAAGTGAAATAAACTGCTGAATAGAAGTTAAATTACCACACGTCTCCCTGTGATACTTTTATTCTAAACCTATGCTCTATTACAAAACAATTATGGTTAACCAGCTCTCTTTTGTAGATTATAATTCGTTTCCTTTGCCTGTAGTTTTATTTATTTATTTACTTCATGAACCAAGCTTACGGATTATTCACCTCCCAGCCACGTTCATGCAATTTCCCATCTTGTCTCATCTTTTTGACGCCCTCATCTTGAATGAGTCGTAACGGCCTCCGCACATTAATGTGAACACCCATCCACTCGCATGGTCATGACCCTTCAACTGTCACACTGAACACTTAATCCCATCTCATGAAATACTTATCAGCATCCCGATATTTATTATTCTGCTTCCTTAAGTGCATAACCCTTAATGTCCATTAAGACGTTATTAAACGCATTGGACACTACATCTGACAGTGAAACCCATTTGATGTGCCTCCTATTATGTGTTCCCAAATCAATACGTGGACCTTCCATTTATCTGCTCCTCTGTTCAATTTCCCACATTTTTAGTGCAGATGATATACATAATATGGCAGTTGTGCCAAAATACTTGTCATTTTGACGATAAAGTTGGCCTAAAGAATTATACTACGTGGCCCAACCCCAAAATAGGTTAAATGTGAAAGTTGCGGCAAATATATTATTTCAACCGAAGCATGATCATACATTTTATAAATTTGATTATACATTTTCTGAGTTGCATCGAGAGCGGGGCAATTGGGATGCACCAAGCGACACACACACATGCTCCTATAGCAGCAACTTCAAGATCAGCTCAATCTAAAACAATCACATGGTCGGGACAAATTACCAGGAATAAAATGACTCAAACTAGAAAGGTAGAAAAACTGTCAATGATGTAATACAGCCAACTGTGAAAGTCTGCGCTAATTCACATCTGCGCCTGTAAAAGAGAATTATGTCATACGCAGAATGCACACAAGAGCTCTTAGACTCACCGGTTTTGGTTTTTCCCTTGCGTTACATTTCTTCAGGTGTTTTCCCAAAACATCTTCATAAACTGTACTGAAAGATTTTCCAATTTTGGAAGGGGAAAATATACATTATATGTTAACAAGAACAAACACAACGGGACCTTGACTTTAAGATGCTGCTGCTTCATCTGGGCAGGGGTCGTGGAGACGGTGAAACAAGGGGGGGGTCTGGCTGGTCTCGGCTGAGGGGGGCCCGTGGGATAGAGGCAGCGAGAGTTAAACAAGACTTTCATTGACATTGCTAATGATGTATCACTAATGCCATGCACACCGGAACGGTGCAGTCCTGAGGTACCAACACTTTACATCACACGCGGTGAACCCATTTCTCCTGCTGGCTGGACAGAGCTGGGTGGGGGGGTGAAGCAACTTGGCCATAGCGAGAGCGTTAACTTTAATACTCTCGTTGACGTCAATTGTGCCAATAAGAGCAAGTAAAGTTTGATTTATTGATCGTTTGAGGGAAGCTTTCGCCATTGTTTAGGTGAAGTGGGGAGTTCGCTCAAACACATATCCCTTGTGATCATCATACAGTTATAGCATCGCTAATTATAGTTTCATATTAAAAATGCGTGTCAGATCTGTATGTGCAGCGTATGCAATGTGCAAAGTATGATACTTACTGCTTTGAATCAAGTGGACAGACGATTCGTCTCCTCTCATTAGCCACCTGCAATACACACGTCCCGTGATTTAGACTGGATAATTACACACATCACCGTGGAAACTCGGTGTAATTTACTTAGGGCACCGGCAAAACTGAACACAAGGTGCGGGAAGAAGTTGGACCACAGCATGAATGTGACGTTATAGCTTTTCATCAGCCACGTTCAATCCATTGCTGGATGAAGGCCTCCCCAAGCGCTCGGCCTCACTCGTGCCGTGTAACAATCCATCGAGCTAATTCGCTCCTTGTATCGCTCCTTCTCCTCGCCGCACTTCCTTTCGGACCCGCTCCACTCACTCCTTGGTGGGCGCTCCCGTCGATATTCTTGACCGTCGGTCATCCCCCCCCTCCCTTCTAGCCATGACGTGTCTTGCCAACTTTCACTTCACTTTCATTAAAGTTGCATCGTCTTTCCCTGCGTACGTCCTTCTGCCTCTCCGTGTAACTGCGGCATGCATCTGTCTGGTGTTCCTCTTCAGGCACCTCGCTCAGCCACCCTCCCGATACCGCGGGCCACGTGCGAGCCACGTGGAGGGTCGGCCTTGACTAGGCCTCACTCACCGGCGCGCTCGTGCCCGAGCAGGCGGCGTGCTCCCCGCACAACGCCCTGCCCGCGGCCACGCTCATCTTGCAGTAGCGTCGCTTCCTCTCCACGAAGAACGCGCAGCACCCGGGCGCGGGGCTCGGGAGCCCTGCGTCTCCGCCATCCGCGGCCGCCACCGCCACCTCCATCGCAGCCGCCCCAGTGACCGAGGGGGGAGAAGGGAGGAGCCGCGACCACGTGGCCGCCGCCACCGCCACCCCCCCCCCCCCCGCTCGACGCCGTGAAGTCACCGCCGCCATCTTACTCGGGGGCCAGAGCGCGCGTGGCCTCGTCCCTGCGGCGCGCATTCTGATGACGTCACCACGGCTGACCCGCGGCGTTGTTGCCCTGAGCAAGATGGCCGCGGCGGCGCGTCTGTGCGAGCGGCGTGGCTGCCTGAGGTTTGTCAGGCGGCAAGTCCAGAGGACGACTCCCCCCCCACCCATCGCCTGCTCGCATCGGCGGCGAGCAGGGGCGGGCTGCACTCGAGACGTTTCACGCAACTGATCAGCACGGTTGGCTACGTACGGTGCGAAAGAAGGTCAACATACTGCACATACAAGACAAAGATCCCCGTGTAGCCGTAACAGACTGTTGGGGCAAGTGCTGTTAGCGAGCACCTATGAAGGCGGTGGGTGGCCGGTACCACGCTCAGCCGCCTTTGTCTCCCTCGTGGCGATGTTTTTAGGCACCGCACCAGGTCCTCACATGAGGATGAGTCGATCTGAGTCGACTGCACAAACAACTGAGCACACGCATTGTCACCGTGACCACTGTCAGCCCGGACGCTAGGGGGCGGAACTGCCACGACTTCTCTCCAAGCCCGTGCACGGCACGAAGCCCGCACGCCTTCACGGACTGCTGCCGCTGGTGATGGTGGTGGTGGTGCTGGTGGTGCTGGTGGTGCTGGTGGTGGTGGTGTTGTTGGTGGTGGTGCTGCTGGTGGTGGTGGTGCTGGTGGTGGTGGTGGTGCTGGTGGTGGTCGTGTTGTTGGTGGTGGTGCTGGTGGTGGTGCTGGTGGTGCTGGTGGTGGTGGTGGTGGTGCTGGTGGTGGTGCTGCTGGTGGTGGTGCTGCTGGTGCTGATGGTGGTGGTGCTGGTGGTGCTGGTGGTGGTGGTGGTGTTGTTGGTGGTGGTGCTGCTGGTGGTGGTGGTGCTGGTGGTGGTGCTGGTGGTGGTCGTGTTGTTGGTGGTGGTGCTGGTGGTGGTGCTGGTGGTGCTGGTGGTGGTGGTGGTGCTGGTGGTGGTGGTGGTGCTGGTGGTGGTGCTGCTGGTGGTGCTGCTGGTGGTGCTGCTGGTGGTGGTGCTGCTGGTGCTGATGGTGGTGGTGGTGCTGGTGGTGGTGCTGGTGGTGGTGCTGGTGGTGGTGCTGGTGGTGGTGCTGGTGCTGGTGGTGGTGCTGGTGGTGGTGCTCCCAGCACGCACAGAGGCCGCGTGCTGTATGTTTGATGCCCCCCCCCCCCCCAAGTGGTGTAGAGTCTGGCGTGCCGCCCTGTTGTCGAATACGATTCTCGATTCGTTCGTTTTCACAAATACTGTGATGGCTTAATTTTTCTGAATTATGTTTATGGAATGACTGAAAGAAATTCGCAAGTACTGTATAATTAAAGTCCTAAATACATAGCTACTTTATTACCGATTAAATTATCGCTTTGCTAAATGTTTCCCAGATTAGTGGATGGCATCTCCACGCGTTTGAGAGATTCGTGGTGGTTATTGTGTTCATCTTTAATGTGTTCACCTTGAGTGTTCATCTTTAGTGTGTTCATCTTTAGTGTTAGGATCTGCAGTTTGAAGCAATGTGCTATTAGGTTGGATGTGCGTAGCAATATTGCGGTCATTATTAAACATTATATTATAAAATAGTTGTATTATCTAAGTGCGTGTTAATTTCCCGTGCGGGAGAAAGGGAAGTATGCTGGGATATTCCGATTATTGTTCTTCATCTTTGGCACCTGCAGATGTGGCCCGTGCCGGGGCTCTTTAGTCGCGTGCGTCACGAGCACAAACACCCAAGCCGCCTACACCGACGTGATCACACAAGCGTAGAGTGGGTTGATGAAGAGTTGTTAATTGACAGTTATTGTAAATACTTGATAACTTGTCAATTAACAACTTGTCATCAAGTTTTACATCGTCTACTTGAATAACATTCCACGTGGGCAAAAAAAGTTACTTGCCAAGTAAAACATATTTTTAACAGTTTCCATTCACCTATCCACGCGTTTCCAGTCTAGACGCACAGATAATCCCAAACGAGCGTGTCTCAATGGTCATTATGGCTGTTTTTAGTGTCTCTCAGGAGAGAGGAAACTTATGCTATTGGTGGAGTTTAAACAACACTACAATGTTTTCATCAACACCTCCAAGGCAAGTGTTGCAGCAATTATTGCAAGTGGCTCTGTGGCATATAAAAAAATATATATTAAAACGTTACCTTTATGAGCGCTCAAAATCCTCCGTGAAAAAAAAAACAATCGAGTGACTTCACAACATTGGCTGCATGTGCATGTGTTGGCATTAATCAGGGAGCATGCAGCGAGCGTACGCCACTGTGTTAATTACACACGATCACACTTGCACGATCTCCACGCTTTTGCACCAACGAGGAACACCACCGCATTGAGGCAGGGGGTTGCATGTTCACGAGCTGTGGGCCCTTGTGTTATTAGCATATAATAACGCGGCACACTCGAGTCACTCCACCATGGGGATGCTGCCGCGGTCCAATGGTTTAGCGAGCTGGATTCGCAATCCAATCCAGAGTTAGGCCGGTTCTATTCCTGGTTCTATCCCTGGTTCTATTCCTGGTTCTATTCCTGGTTCTATCCCTGGTTCTATTCCTGGTTCTATTCCTGGTTTTATTCCTGGTTTTATTCCTGGTTCTATCCCTGGTTCTATCCCTGGTTCTATCCCTGGTTCTATTCCTGGTTTTATTCCTGGTTCTATCCCTGGTTCTATCCCTGGTTCTATTCCTGGTTTTATTCCTGGTTCTATCCCTGGTTCTATTCCTGGTTTTATTCCTGGTTCTATCCCTGGTTCTATCGCTGGTTCTATTCCTGGTTAAATCCCTCCGTCTCTGTGCACCCAGCACAGTATAAATGGGTAACACCACAGTCGATTGTCAGGTCGCGTATGGTGGAGTCAGATGTGGCTACTCTCACCTCTTCAAAAACGTCTTGCCAGTGTGGAAGCGTAGGCCAAAAGCCGTATGAATGGCTCTCTTAATCTCCTAGTGGAGAGCTTTTTTTGCAGCAGCAGCTTGAGCAAGCAATTGCAGGGCTGCACCTTTACCGCTTACATGAGCCCACGAAACCATCATCTGAGCCTCTCCTGATCCAGCAGGATAGAATGTAGCTGGTTGTGTGGCCCCTTACAGACCTATCAACTCTCCATGTACCACCATGTACAGTATGGCAAATCATAAATGTTGATACAATATACAATTACATTTACACAATTAACACCCAAGACATTTAGTTAATAACTCATGATACTTAATAACTAACAATGTAATAGTCACACTTTTATATCGTTTAAAAAAATACCACTGCCCAGTTTAATCCAAGTCACTTTCACCATGTAATAAAATAAAAGCCAGTGACCATATTGGAGAAAAAGACTTGTCACGTTGTAGATTAAGAAACCAGCATGAGATTATGCATGTGAAAGTAACCACTGTTTAAATGCCTGTCTCACTTCCATTACCTTCTGACCACACTGAAGTTTTGGAACGTGATCAGACTGTGCAGGCCTTGACTGATGCATCAGGGAAGTGGTAGATACATAAACTCGCAATCCTAGTTTCCCACTTGCTTTCAAGTCGCAAAAACACGGTGGCCCTTAATGGCATCCAATGTCTATTATTTTGCCATACAGTATCTTCCTACAGAAATATAGGGTTTGACCAGAATGTGTGATGGCAAACATGGGAGATGCAATGTCCTTGCCACTAAATGATGTATTACCAACACATTATTGTGAAACAAGACAGATACATTTGGGATATATGTTTTGAACCTGAAATTGAAAAAATAATGTGTCGCCCTTCATGGCAAACACCTCTTTGAGAGCCAACAATTTTGACAGTAGATTTATTTTGATTTGTCAACATCACCGAATCACGAGTGAAACATATGGCATTTTATTAAAACTAAATAAAGATGAAATATTATAAAAAAAGCTCTCCCAGTGTGCAATGGGTTTATTGTTGCTGTATCCTCATGATGCATATTATATAAACTTTTCATTCAATATTGTTTATACTTTGTTCTGTTATAAAACCAGGTTTTCCAGAGGTTTCAGTACAAAAATATATCTTTTGTAAAACACTACATTCAATTTTGTCACATCAATTAAGTTGAAATCACATACCTTATTGTTTCGATTGTATGCAATCGACTATGCTTCATATAGCATTGAAGGCAAAAATGTATAATCTGATTATTTTTAAATCACACATCCAATAACCACAATGTCGTTTTTAAATAATAATATAATTTTATAAAGTATGTGTTATGAGCTTCGAATTTCGTAAAAAAACCCTAGAATTATTATTCCAGGGCTTTAACGTGCCTTAATATATTACGGTACTGTACATACAAGAACAAGAGTCTGGGACATTGGATTTAAGCATGGCCATCATTGACCATGTTTCCTTTTTATCCGAACAAATTGCTTCTAGCTTGTTACAGAACAACATTATGGGCATGCCCACACTTAAAACAATTTAAGCACAAATTGTTCTCCTAATAACAATATCGCTGTAATGGTGCATTCATTCCAGGACTTGTAGGGATTTTAAGCTAATCCAAAGACATAAAATTGTTCTACTGGAACTTAGAAAATTAACAATGCAATTGCATTAACAAAATTAGCCTTTTGTAATTGGATATAACAAAACATCACACAATATAATGAGTGTGGTAACCTAAACAAGGTTTATGAATCGAACATGTACCCATTGATAATGCTCACAAGTAACGCGTATGGTTAAACTCCTTAGTTGTCCATAGTTTAGGGGAAAACAGTCCCACCACTTGGTAAACTATAATTGATACTGTTTGTGTTTAGTACTTGAGTCTATTTTATTGGTCCCATGTGGTGACCCATAACTTCAGGAGGGTAGCTTATTGATCACATTTCACAGATGCCTGTTTTTTAATTTTCCACTGTGCATGGTTTCCAAT